TTTTAGATACCATCTCTAAGGAAGCTTGGAGGAGGAGGCTAGAGATACCATTGGAGATCTTCATCAATAAAGAGCAAACTTCTTCCATGGAGTTAGCCCTTGAGGGTTGGAGCATTTTCACCATGAGTGGCTAGACATCCTCTTGGGGCTAGAGTTAGCCCCAAGTATGCTTTCTATATCTTAATCTTGTGTATTATTGAGGGATTATTGTTGTAATTAATGTTTTGACACTTTGATATATATAGATCTTGTTTAATCAATGATTTGTGTGGTTTAATGCTTCCAATTGATCATTTCATTCTATTCATATGTTTATGTATGCTAGAATTGATGTTCATGTTCTTGTCTCTAGATTTTATGTTGTTAATGCATGTTTATGTGTATTGATGCCATAAATTTAGAGATTGTCAAAATATAGTGCTTAAATGAATGTTGTTATGATTCTCTTGATGGTTCATACTTATTCCTTGATGGATTGTACCTCTTCCCTAGTTTACTTTCGTGCTAGTAGTTTAGATGTAGTGTAGTTGTAGTGTAGTGTTAAATGGGAGGACAATCCATGCTTGTTGTTTGATGTTCCAAGCTTTTGAATACAAGTAGCATATGTCTCTAATCTTGTGTTGTATTTGGATTGTGAGCCTAATGAAAGGATTAATGACTTGTTTTGATTTATTGTGCCTTTCACATGTTGTTTAGACAATATATGCTTTATCGTTTAGATATATTATGCCTTTCACAAGAAGTTTAGACAATACATGCTTAACTAGTCATCCTTACTTGTTGAATCAACCAAATACACACACACCAATATTACAACACCCTAATTGCCCTCATTAATCACTTGTCAATAATATAGAAATGCATTGCTTGGTGGTGATCTCTAAACCCCAAGACTCTTCTCTCTCTTACTTACTCTCCATTGCATTCAATTACTTAGTTTAATTTAGTTACTCTCTAATCTAATCAATCAACCAATCAATTGTTTGATCACTCGACCTATAAACCCTAATAGCGATTCCACAATCAACTCCGACTCCAATCCTTTGGGACGATCCCTACTCGCCCTAGCTATATTTATAGTGAAACGTAGTAGTGGTTTTTATAAATGTAAAACTTGGCCCTCACCTAAATTGCACGCTTCTCCAGGCTTGTGGTCACCGTGACCTAAAATATAAGTTACCACCACCAGCTGCCACTTACTTTGCTGAGTGGTTGGCACTCGGCTAGAATGCCACTTGCCACTTTCACTCTTTTATTTTTTTTTGTGCAAGTTTTTGGCGTTCGGCTCATAGTGCCAGATGCCATTTACTTTGCTGAGTGGTTGGCGCTCGGCTAGAATTCCACTTGCCACTTTCACTCTTTTATTTTTTGGCAAGTTTTTGGCTTTCGACTCATAGTGCCAACTGCCACTTACTTTGCTGAGTGGTTGGCGCTCGGCTAGAATGTCACTTGCCACTTTCACTCTTTTATTTTTTGGCAAGTTTTTGGCGTACAGCTTATAGTGCCAGCTACCACTTACTTTGCTGAGTGGTTGACGCTCGGCTAGAATGCCACTTGCCACTTTCACTCTTTTATTTTTTGGCAAGTTTTTGGCGTTCGGTTCATAGTGTCAGCTGCCACTTACTTTGCCATTTCTATAAACTCAACTTTTTAGAAGAAGATAGCTTTTTATAAATTTCAGAATTCTGTACAACTGAAAATGAGTAATGCCAAAATTAGAACTTTAAACTTTCTACATATAATACCTTTTTAAAGATGTAGCATTCCATGGCTTGTTAACCAACCTTCCGGCCATGGTCTCTAGTACATATGCCCCTTTCCCTATGACCTCCGCAATTCTGTATGGTCCTTCCCAAGGTGACATCATCTTTTTAACCATTCCTACCTTTTTCTTCAGAACCAGATCACCAATTGTGAAATCTCTGTGCTTCACCCTTTTGTTGTGGCTGCTAGACAGTGTCTGCTGATAGGATGTAAGCCTTATTGCCGCAGCATCTCTCTTTTCTTCTAACATATCAAGGTTAAATCTCAGCATTTTGTCATTCTGTTCCTGATTCTATGTTAAGCTTTGGACCATCGGATCCAAATATTCAACCGGTATGACTGCCTCGGTTCCATATGCCATGGCGAATAGGTTTTCCCCGGTCGGCCGTCTAGGGGTCGTTCTGTAAGCCCATAGGACGTTCGGGAGTTCGTCCAGCCACTTCCCTTTATGGTCTTCCAGTTTCTTCTTAATATAAGCAAAAAATGTTCTATTCGTAATTTCTGCTTGTCCATTAGCCTGGGGATGACTTACTGCTGCCAATTTTTGGTTGATTCCATATTCTTCCAGCAATTCTCTGACTTGCTTGCTGTCAAGATCAGTCCCATTATACAGAACGATTGACATCGGGACACCAAAACGGCAAATAATATTACTCTAGATGAAGCGTCTTACATGAGTTTGCGTTACGCTCGGATATGGCTCTGTTTCTACCCATTTGGTAAAGTAATCTGTTGCCAGCAATACATACTTGTTCTGAGCTCTTACAGTCGGTAAAGGACCAACCACATCCATCCCTCATTGTGCGACAGGCTATGGTGTGGCCATTATGTGCAAGTCCTCAGGTGGTTGGTGGATCAATGGTCCGAACCTTTGGCATTTATCGCACCTTCTGGAGAATTCTTCTGCATCTCGTGACATGTTCGGCCAGAAGTACCCTTGCGTCATTGCTTTGTGCGCTAAAGATCTTCCCCCTGAATGATTTCCACACATATCTTCATGAATAGCTCGCAGTATCTGCCGAGCCTCTGTAGGGGTGATGCACTTTAAACACGGCCCAGAAAAAAACCTCCTGTATAACTGGTTATGCACTATGGCATATTTTGCAGCATTCGATTTGATTTTCCTAGCCTCATCTCTTTGCTCAGGCAGAGTACCATCCTGAATGTAAGTTATGATCGGATCAATCCAACTTGGCTCATATGGAATAATATTCACTTGCCAAGGATCTAGGCCTGAAGGTTCTTCAAAAATGGATGGCTGGTTCAGTATTCCAACTGAAATCACCCTTGCCAATGTTTCTCCAGAACCCGAGGCGCTACATGCTAGCCGATCGGCATCTTCGTTATGCTCTCTCGGTTTTTGGATGAATTCAATTTTTTCAAAGTTTTTGGCTCTCGCATAACAGCAGAATGATATGCTTCCATCATTTCATCCTTGGTTTCATATTCGTCATTCACCTGCCAAACAATTAACTGCGAGTCACTAAAGACAGTCAAATTCCTGACCTTCAGCTCCTTGGCGAGTTTAAGTCCTGCCAGCAGTACCTCATACTCCGTTTCATTATTGGTGGCTCTGAATTCAAGCCGGAGCGCTTGACTTAGGGACGTGCCTTCTGGTGTCGGCAATTTGACTCCAATGCCTGCCCCCATCTGATTTGAGGATCCATCGACAAAGAGTTTCCACAAGCAACCATAAAGGTCTTCTTCCATGTTTTCTGAATCACATTCTAGTAAAAAATCTGCCACTGCTTGCCCTTTGACTGTCGTTCTGGGTTCATATATTATGTCAAATGAGCTTAACTCTATGGCCCACTTCGTCATCCTCCCTGAGAGGTCTGGCTTGTGCAGGATTATTCTGATAGGGAAAGTGGTTAGAACGATGATAGGATGGGATTCAAAATAATGCTTGAGCTTTCTTTTCGCATGTACTAGCTAGAGTATCACCCGCTCGGCCTTTGAATAACGTCATTCGGCCTCAGTCATCGTTTTGCTAACATAGAACACTGGATATTGCTTCCCCTCTTTACAACCGATTAGAACGCCACTTGTCGCGATGCTGGATATCCTGAGGTATAAAAATAGCTTCTCTCCTGGTTCCGGAGCTGACAGGACCGGAAGGTTCTGCACATATTCTTTCAAACCAATTAATGCTCGGCGCTGTTCATCCGCCCAAACTTGTCTCCTATGGCTTCGTATTGTGTTAAAAAATGGTTTGCAGCGATCTGACAATTTGGAAATGAACTGGCTCAATGCAGCGATCCGTCCCGTAAGTGTTTGCACTTCTTTGATTGTCTTCAGCTCGACATTCTTAGTCAGAGCTTCTGCTTGGGCAGGGCTAGCTTCTATGCCTCTATGATTAACCACGTGTCCCAGGAATTGACCAGAACTCAGGCCGAATGAGCACGTGGTTGGATTGAGCTTCATTCCATATTGTCTCAACACATTAAATACGTCTTGTAGATGTTTCAGATGGTCATCTTTCTTCTTAATTTTTACTACCATGTCATCAATGTAAGCTTCCACGGTCTTCCCTATTTGACCCTTGAAAATTTTTCTAATAAGCCTTTGGTAGGTTGCTCCGACGTTCTTCAGTCCGAACGGTATAACTTTGTAGCAATAGGTCTCGCACTCGGTAACGAAAGAAGTTTTCTCTTCATCAGCAAAGTCCATGGGGATCTGATTATAACCTGAATAAGCATCTAAAAAGGTTAAACGCTCATACCCAGTAGTAGCGTCCACCATTTGATCAATTTGTGGCAGCGGAAAGCTATCCTTCGGACATGCTTTGTTCAAATTGGTGAAATCAATGCACACTCACCATTTCCCATTCTTCTTCTGTACAACAACAACGTTTGACAACCAGTCAGGATAGTACACTTCTCTTATAAATCCCGCATCAAGTAGCCTGTCAACCTCCTCGGCTAAGATCTGGTTACGCTCTGGAGCAAACCTTCACTGCTTCTGCTTTACAGGCTTTGCATTGGGATTAACGTTCAAGGAGTGACAGGATACGGAAGGATTAATTCCAGGCATGTCTAGGTGGCTCCATGCAAATACATCGGCGTTCTGAGACAAGAAATCAACTAACTCCTATTTCTCCCCCTCAGCAAGTCGTACCCCCACCTGGTTGTTCGTTCTGGTCGGAACTGATCGATCTGTACATCAACTAGGGGTTTTTCGGTTAAGTCCACTGGCTCATTCTCCCCATTTTGCTTGGGGGGAGGCTCCTGTAATTGCTATCTCAGGCTTGCCAAATGGATATGTGCTTTCCCTTTTCCAGCATACTTCAGCGTTACTGAATAACATTCCTTAGCTGCAACCTGGTCCCCATGAATGTCAATCACCTTGGTTCCGTCTGGCCCCAGGCATCTCATTACTTGGTGCAGAGTGGAAGGAACACCTTGAACTCTGTGGATCCACCCTCTGCCCATCAGAAGGTTATAAGAGGGATGAATATCGACAACCACAAAGCTCTCCATCAGAACCCTCTCTGCAGCATGCACTGTTACTTCCACCGTACCGATGGGCTCCACTCGTTTTCCATTAAACCCTAGCAAAGGATTCCCAGTGGGTTTAAGCCGGTCTGGCTTGATCTCGAGTCGATCAAATGTGTCCCTCGGCATGACGTTCACACTACTTCCAAGATCAATCAGAACTTTGCATACCAAACATTCGGCTACTGTCAAACTGACGACTAACGGGTCCTTATGAGGGATTTGAACACGCAATAGATCTGTTATGTCAAACTTTATCTGTGTTGATGCGCTCTGTTGGTGCAGAGTGTTTATACTGCCTATCCTCCTCTTCATCTGCGCCTGGCGGAGCCGTATTCGAAGCAGTTCATCTGACTCTTCACGTTCAAGTTGGCCATGAATTGCATTGATTATTCGAACTGGTTGCGAGTTGTGGCAGTTCAGCTTCTGATTTCTTTTCACTTGCTCCGCCGGTCGGCTCTGCTCTACCGCCGGGCCTTGAATATAACTTGTGAACTCCCCTCTGGTTATTAACATCTCTACCTGCCTCCTTAAGTTCCTGCATTCGTTAGTCTGATGGCCAAAATTAGAATGGAAAGCGCATGCTTAGACTTATCTCTCTGCTCCAGGGGTTGTCTGATAGGTAAAGGAGGTCGGAACTTTTCTTTGTTCTCTTGGTACAGTCTTGATAGGGTTACTTTCAATGGAGTGACCAATTCCTCTTCCCTGGGCCTTTTTTCTGTGGTCCAAGGGATCTGCCACTGTGATGGAGCTGGTTTTTGCCTGATCTTGGCTTTGGACTTTTCCTCCGTTGAAATAATTGACGTTTTCCTTGCATTAGTTGCCTCTTCCTCTTCCAAACGGACAAATCCATCAGCTCTTTCATTCAGCTCGTCCATGGTCAGCGGCGTGTTCACCACTAGACTTGTGTGGAACGGAGTCCCACAAATCATGGCCAGCTTGAATGCTTGAACCGCCGTGGATGGATGGCACTCGATCACCATGCTCTTCGTTAAATTGAATTTGGTAAGAAAGGCTTGGAGGCGTTCAACTTCATGCTGCCGTATCGTGAATAGACTGGAGACATCTTTTGCCGGCATTTATTCCCATAATACTGGCTGATAAACCGATCGGAAAGGCTTCGGAAACTATCAATCGATCCCCTCGGTAAGTTTTTGAACCAATTAAGCGCTGGTCCAGCCAAGCTTGTTGGGAAACATTTGCACATTAAGGAGTCGTTCTCCGTGTTCAGTGCCATTTTCAATTGGATATGATACACATGATCGATCGGATCAATCGTTCCGTCATACAGGAGGAAAACTGGCATGGATAATTTCCTCGGACTCGGAGCATTCAGAATTTCATTGGTAAACGGCGAGTCAACCGTCCGAGTTGCTGAACAAAGGGCCTTATTCTCTCTATGGAACCTTGCGGTAGCTCTCTGATCTGTAGATCTCCTTTCTGAGCTTCGGTAGTCTAACGTAGCCATTGAAGGTCGATAAAGCGAATTAGATGATCTTTCCTCCATGTATTCCTTCTGCCAGATTGGTGTGTTTTTATGAGGTCCAAACTCCACAACTTCTTCTCGGTTGAACCTCTCCTGATTCGGATCGAAAGTCATTTCTGCGTTCCGCCTGATCTGCTTACACCGTGGATCTAAGTGAATTGAGCTTTCTCGATAATCAAAACGATGAGTATTTGGCGGCAAATCTTCCGGCCTAACCTCCTCGTGACGAGGATTTGGCAGGTTGTTCTCTTCCTCTTCACCTTGACGCGCAACAACAGGATGCATAACCTCTTCACCGGCCAGAGGCGGTTGCAGAACCGCTGGAGCTTCTTGGCGCTGTATTCCAGCTTTCAGCTCTGCATTCTTTCTCCTAAGAACTTTGATCATGTTCATCAACTCATCAAGCTTCATCTATTGGACATTCTCCACCGGATTAGAGCTCTCGCCTCCTATCATGATTCCAGAGCGAAACAAAGGCATGAATCACAAGATCTTAATTAGATCTGAGCTTTACCGATGCAAATCTCGTCGGATATGGACTCTGATTCATTGAATCACGATCACAGTTCGCTAGATCTGATCTTTTCTAGCTTCTAACTCACCGGATCTAGTTGCGATCAAGCAAATCTCAGTTGCATAATTCCAACACAAACACGTTTAAACCGACAGTAATTAAGAATTCCTTCAGAAAAAAACTGCAATCTCTCCGATCTGGACTCAATTTTCTAGAAATCTTGCTTCATCTTCACAGATCAGTTTGAATTAACATGACATCGATAAAGCATAAATGAATGTTCGTCATCGCTTCCCACAGATAGCGCCAATTGAAGATGCAAAGAATTTTCTCTCTCTATTTGGACAGAATCTCATTACATTTTCAATTAAAAAATAATAATCCTCCCCTCTTTCACTCTCTTCATTGCCTTTTTATAGGCAATTACAAGTGCTGCTGGACTATCAGTTTTGGGCCTTCTTTCCAATGAGCTTGGCCTTCTTCGATGGATCCTCTGGGCTCGGGCCATTCTGCAATGCTCCTGTATGGGCTGAATTCAATTGTTTGACCCGATGCCATGTCCGCGGATCATATCCGGCCCATATTCCTTCTAGTATCCTCAAAAAATATTGAGCTCGCAAGAAATACATATAATTACATTTTTTTTTTTTTTTTGCCAGATATAATTACATTTAATTGGGTTCACAAATTAGGTTCCTCGGCTAGCATATTCGGAACAAGTCAGGACTCAGGTTGTCCCACACATAAATCTGAGTTCGGAAGAAGTGTGGTGGTTCAAAAACTTCTTTCTGTAAGATTTTATTGTTCAGAGCATTTAGTTGTGTTTTGCAAATATATTGTTTATGGGTACAGAGTACAATACTCTACTGTACTCTCCAGTTGTGAATGAGATTGATTTGCCTAATTCTGGTGCTGCCCATCTCAGGTTTTAATCTTCCTTATTGGATTATCTATTAGAGAAAGCGATTTGTATGAAAACAACCTATATTTGGCCTCTAAGTTGAGAGAGAAATTGGGAATTTCATTTGGAACTCAGCGGGTGGGGAGTGTTCTTGAATTAGTAGTATGAAGTTCAAACGTGGACATTTTGAACTTCCTTAAGTAATTGTTTTAGAACATTCAGAGACTTTGTTTGAGAATCTAATAGCTTGTGAGGATGCTTTAGATCCAAATGGAGTTATTTGTACATTCATGTGGTTAATGGGAGTGTTGGTATGCGATGAGAGAAGTGTTAGGATTTTGAAGGACAAACATATTATTGTATCAGAGTTTGAGGATACGAAGATTGTAGATATTTTCAAGCGGGCGTCTAGTCGTTTACTACCACACAGGCTTTATTTAGAATAAATTCTATATGGGATTGGACTTTATAAAAAATCCCATTTCATGCCATTTAGAAGATGGGTTTTTGAAATGCTTGACATTTTCTTTGGCACTATTGGGAGGGGATTCGCATCCGTAAGTGCACTTATTGGGCTATTTGCAACAATTTGATGGGTGTTTAAACATAAGGTTATCTGCATGAATCCAGTTATACTTCTTGGGGAAGTTTCACACACTATATATCTAATTATGTATGAGAACATGACCATCTTGGTGTTCATTTGAATTTTCCCCCTTTCTTCCGGAATCTTTAGAATTTCAGTTAGCTATGAGTATATATGTGCTTTTGAAAGATTAGGATGGATTTTGAAGATTTATTTATTTATTTTTTGTTATTTATACCAGCAGTTGTTAGCTTGACTGGTGTCTCATCTCACATTTGAAAGGACATGGTTCAAGTCCTCAGAAGCATTTCTGTGCATACTTATGAAAAAAGAAGGGTTAATTTCACCTACATTCCCTGATGTTTGTCTATATTTCACTTACACCCCCTCTACGTTTCAAAATTCCACCTACCTCCCTTGAACTTTTGGTTTATGTAACAAATTACCCCTTACCGTTAAACAACTAACGGTGTCAGCATGAACAAATTGGTACAAGGTCAATTTTGCCCTTACAATATTTGTAATGACATTTTTAACCTCACTAACCAATACAAATATACAAAATTACCCTTAACTTATAAACTTAAAAGGACAGTTGTGCCCTCGTATCACCGAACCCATAGCACCCTATGCAACCGTGCCTCATATTGACAAACCTCTGCAAATCTCACTATGACGGTCACCACCGTACAATCCATCCCAATCTGAAGAAAATTCTAATGGGTATCTCTCAAATACAATACATAAGGATGCAGAGGAAAGGAAGCAATGGCAGCAACGATGGCCGCATCACCACCATCACGGATGGTAGCGGAGGGGCTGCAGCACCATCATCCACTACCATCGATCTGACGTCATTTTGGCCGCCTCCTCATTAATCGTCCTCTGTTTTGACGCCCACCAACACTACTGAGAAAAATGACGTAATCGGCACCACCATCCCCAACCCCCACAGTCGGCAGGCGAAATACATTCAGTACCAATATCCACTAATCGTTGTTTGCGCATTGGATCATTTGGGAGCGAACTTTTCCTTAGCTTCTGGTGAGACGGGCAAGAATACAAGCAAGGGTTTATCTTAAAGGAGAGCTCTACTCATATTTTCCTCTGATCGGAAACAGTCACTTGATGGTGTGAAAAGAGGGCGACGGTTGACTTACTTCTCGGCTCAAGCAAGAACTACAGTAACGAGGAGTGCGGCTTTTCTCTCACAGTGAGTGAATGTGTGCATCCCTCCAGAGAGAAAAAATAAACACTCTCTCTCAATCACAAGCAACCACCACTGGAGCACCACCACCTGGTCAATCCCCATCCCGCAATCGGTAACACCATCCGGTCCATCTCCATCCCAGTAATTGGCACCACCGTCCCCACCATATCAGTAACGGCACCAATGGCAAACAACATATTCCGGCGAAATCCACGTCTATAGTCAACGCTCTTCGCCTTCTTCACCTCGATTTTGTCAGGAATTGGAATGGGAATTAGCATGAAAATCCGGTTGTGTCTCTGTTCGCCGGAGCGTTCATGGAGCTTGGAGCTTGGTTTGTGGCGGATGCGATGGGTCTCGATGCGGCCACAGCCGTTACAGTGAGAGGAACATCTAGCGACCAAGGTCCAGCGACTTTGGGTCGCCATATTGAAGAGGATGAACAATTAAACATGCCCTAGATTCTTACTTCTAGCATTTCATTTGTTTTATATGTTGCTGTGAGCTTCACCGGACTGAACTAAGCTTCGCCGAGACTTCGGGATTGCCGGACTGAACTGGGTTGAAGTAGCTATGAGCTTCGCCGGATTGAACTGAGCCTCAACGGACGGAACCGGGTCATGTAGCTCTTAGTTCAGTCGATCGCTGGAACTGTTTTTGCTTGGGCTTGCCGTTTTAAAGTTCCCTTGAGGTGGAGCACAAAGACCCAACCGTGAAGAAGCTCTGAGCCAACAAGGACCAAACCGGCATGGAGCTTCAGCGAATGGATCCGACCAATATTACCCTACGGCAGTACACGAAGTTCAGTCAATCCATGGCCATGGCGTGCTCACCGTAATTGCATCAGCAACTATCGATTTTTCTCCATATACATCCGCAACTGCTTTATCAACGACAGAGACAACCTCGGCGAGTCTCGGCGTGCTCGCAAGCATCGACAAATTATTAATCGACTTATAAATTTGGGTATATAAATCATTTGCAGAGATGCTTATGGTTTTGGATTGTTTCTAATCAGTTAATTCGTCGATAAACAAAATGAAATATAATATATATATAAAAGAAAGGGAAAGATGTGGGTAGAGAGAAGTCGGATTGAAGTATAAGACATAAATAATAGCAGATGAGGGAAATAGAGAGAGAGAGAGAGAGTTGGGCAGAATTTGACGTGAAAATTTGTAAATGAAAGAAAGAAATGGGTAGAGATTGGAGGGAGAAAAATATAAAGTATGATGGAAGAAGAAGACATCAATAATATGCGAAAAGATAAGAGGGTATTTTTTCATCCAATACCCACCAAGTCACTAGTCTATTATTAAGGAGTTTTGGTGGGGCTGGTGGTGGGGGATGGTGGCTGCAGTTACGAAGGTAAGCATGTTGTCCGCGTTGGAGATAATATGAGAGAGAGAACAGAAAGGGTATTTTGGTCTTTAAATTTTAGAAACAATCTATGTATAATATTCATATATAATTGATGGACAAAACTGTAAAATCACTAAGTTCCGTTAACAAAGTAAATGGCGTTACACACAGGGGAGGTAGGTGAAATTTTGAAACATAAAGGGAGTGTAAGTGAAATATAGACAAACGTTAGGGAGTGTAGATAGAATTAACACAAAAAAGAATCTCTTTATGTATGTTGATTTCTGTTTCATACATCATCCTTTTTTATAATAGATTTGAAAACTTGGGGTTTGGAAAATTCCATTGCCACTACTAAAAATTATTATTTTTGGTTTGTTTTGTTTAATGAAGATTAAGCATAATCAGTATTGGGTTTAGTGTTTTTCAGACAACTATTTTCAGAAATGGACCTTTCACTGACAAATCTCTCATTCATATACCTTAATGTTTCACTCCCTAGAGCTTGGTTTGAAGAGCTAGGAAAATGACGAGTGGCTGAATTGAGGCAAGAATTGGAAAAATCTGAAGCTTTGATTGGGTGAGTCTATATTTTATCTTTTCATTCAAGTTGTTATTGCAATGTAGAACCCCATTGATCGTTTAGTTATTATTTTATGACCAATCTGCATCCGCCTCTGTTTTCTATGAACAATTATGGTGATTTTGATGCATTCTAACTCCTCCTTGAATTTGGGAGAAAGCTCAATGAAGCCACTGAAAATAAGCAGATTGTAGCTTAAAGTTTTACAGCCGAACAATTATAGGAATCATGAGGTTACTATTTTAAAAACAGGATATATCTGATGTGCAGATTCCTATAATTGCCACATTCTCAATCTTTAATTATTTGACCCATGGCATGGAAGTCCTATTGATTTGGTATTGTTCCTGTATTGAACCATGCATCTTTTTCAGCCTCACAGGATTCACTATTTCATTGATGAATTGTTTTACTTAGTTCGTACTGTTTCAGGTCTCTTGAGTCAAAGCTTGGAAGTCTCAAGTCTGAGAAAGGAGATTATAGTTGGGTTGATTGTGGCTTTAGCCAGAATGAATTTCCTGCACCTTCACAAAAATCAGCAGGCGCAGAATCTTTTGGTAAAGAGACATCTAAGGATGGACTATCTGCTGGCAGTTTCACGCAGGATACCAGGAACTGGTCCTCTGAATATCCTTTTCCTGCAACAGCTTCAGCTGCAGAGATGGATGCAACGCCCGATGCTTCAGAGCCTATGGAGCAAGAAAAACTTTCAAGCGTTGATAAACTGGTACAGATTAGCAATGAACAAGAAGGGACTTTTCGGAAGAGGAGAGGGAAGAGAAAAAGGAAGGATTGTAATAGGGAGTCCAAAGAAGGGAGCATTGGAGACAGTGAGAATTTGGGTTCAACCAATGTTTTAATTGACTCTCAATGCAAGGAAAATTCTATCAGTGACTGTGGTCAGACGGTCAGATCTTCTGGTGTAAATGATCACAATAAAGGTTCAAGTGGGGTTGGAAATGTTGATTTGATGTTGATATTTGATTCTATTGCAAAGAATGAATACGCCTTGGTCTTTCGACGTCGGCTTGATAGCCAGGTAATGATTGACAATATAAGATGCTTCGCCATTTTATCATCTCTATATTGCAGTTAGGCAACCATAGTAGTTATTTGTGGAAAAAATCTCATAAACAATCTTCTATAACAAAAGAGAGCAAGGTACAAGAAAAGAATCCGGCAGCACTTGGATTTTGACACCATAAGATCAAGAATTGCCAACTGCTCCATCATGTCAGTCAAAGAACTCTTCCGAGATCTGCTTTTGCTTGCAAACAATGCGCTGGTCTTTTATTCCAGAAGAACACGTGAATACAAGTCCGCATTATTACTCAGAGATCATGTCACAAAAGAATATCAGCAGCATTACAAGGATTCTGCCAACAAAGCAGCCTCTGTCATCTTCTCTATATCATCAATGTGTAACCTTCCTGTGAAACCTCGGAGCATTCGCCCTTATAAACGCAAACTGTCAGCACATGTTCTCAATGCTGAGAATGTCACTGCTGGAACTCAACAAGGATGTAAGAAACCAAGTGTTGCTGATTCCACTCCTTTAATGGTGTCTTTGATGATGGCAAACAAAGGCTTCGGTGGGGCAGGGAAGGTTGCACTTACAACATCTAATCGACGATCTAAAATTCCAATGAAGGAAAGAAAGAGCCCTTGGCGGAGGTTAAATTGTTGTAGTTTTTAATCTTTCTATTTTTCTTTTTCTTGTGAAATTCCCAGGCTCTTCTTTCGGTAATCTGAGTCGCTTGCATGATCTTTTTTTTTTTTTTTTTGTTTCCAAATCAGTTAGGCTTTGTTTAGGTTAAAAAAGAGATCAGGAAAAGAAATATTTGTACAGATTGATGAAGCTGTGCGTCATTAAGATTGTAAGATTAGTATGCCACGTTCGTGGATTCTAGTTCTTGAAAAATGAGAGTACATACCGTCTGTTCCCTCCAATTCTGTGCTGCTTTCCCTTTGTTAGTCTAATAACAAAATTGTAACAATTGCTATTCAGCGAAGAACTCGGATTCTCTCCTATGCCATGTCTTCTGCCTTTACGTTGCCTTGTCCAACAACTACATTACAACGTTATTTATGGCGATACCCTTTGTCATGAGAATGTTGTAGTTCAGTCTACAATGTAATGTGTTGCACTAGCCTTGAAGGACCGACCAAGGCACAAGATGGGGTCTGAATTCTTTCAAGGAAACCTGAAAACTAGTAAGCCACATGTGTGGGTTTGTTCTTGGGAAAGGAAAACAAGGAAAAAGTTGGTATTGCAAATTCACAATTCTGACTCTATGATCCAGTTCAGTAGGCCCATATTTTTTGAAGTTCGAAATTTTCTTTACTGGATTTGGAGTTGAAAGGGAGAGATAAAGAAAGGGGTATTAAGACGTTAATAGTAATTTTAGATATCACATCTAATTACAAGTTTTAAAAACTTCCGAATGCGCTTTGATTTGTTGCCTATTATGTCGCATTCAGCACATAATTAAGTAGGTGTAATGTATTCTATTCAAAATGGCTCCTAATTAAATAAGAACAATTATTCACTCATTTACTGAAAAAAAAAATAATAAATAAATATATCTCATAGGTAAATTACTAAAACACATCAGATAGTTTCATTGGAGAGCCTCTCATCTTTAATTTTTTTCCTTTGACGTGTGTGTAGACATTGAAATATGATAATATTCAACTCGACATATGAAATATTGAAAATTAACTTAACCAGAGCTCAATCAATCAACTTATAAATTTTCAGTTTATTGAAGTTTTTGCAAGTTCTATTGAAATTTTGATTTAAAAATTAGTTGTCATATTGCCAATCTCCACCCTGTACCATACATCAATCGACAAAAGAAAAACAAAAATATTGAGCTTGCAAGAAATACGTATAATTAAATTTTTTTTTTTTTTTTTGGCCAGAGATAATTATGTCTAATTGGGTTCACAAATTAGGTTCCTCGGGCTAGCATATTTGGAACAAGTCGGACTCAGGTTGTCCCACATATGAATCCGAGCTCGGACCAAAATTAATTTGGGTTCATTTATGTTTTTTTAGCCCAAGCCTGGACCGAATTGTAAATAGTATAGCTCTGTCCAAATTGAATTTTTTTTTGGGCTGGGCTCGAATTAGCATTGTAGTGGTGGTCCCGTTTTAAGTATCTCTGTAAGATCTCTCTATATTCAATATTGCAACCATCCGCCATTTTTAGGGTTTTCTACAGAGCGACACAAGTCCTTGCTTTCAATGCATTTCCCACTCTAGCTAATTTTTCAGAGGAACGAAAATGTCTGCCCACATCAACGAATTAGAAGAGTATGTGAAAGCTCCATTCCCTGATAAAGAAGTGGAGAGGGTTCGTGGATTTTTACTCGAGTACAATCACTCCACTCCCGAAATGGTTTCGATCGGCCCTGAGTTCTCAGATCTTCCATTACCGATTGACTACAAAGTGAAGATTCAAATGGCTTCATCTCTCATCTTGACATCTAATAGTTGAATCTGATAGTTTCGATAATTACAAATCAGTCATTGAAGAAATAAAGGTATACAATCCTATCCTGCGATAAATGTTGTAGAAATTGGATAGGACAACTGTTGATGCGTAAATCCTCAATACTCGGAACGACGGCGTTTACCTGCAAAACAAAGGGACGTCACTTCGAATAGCACCGGTGGGGTGCCAGCCAAGGACCCTCCGACGATCAAGTTAGTACTTGTAATCGTATCACATAATAACTATGTATCTTTTGTTTAGGAGTTTTTTCTCATACATTCTTTAACGGTTTGGTGCCCTATTTATAGCTGTCGAATGGAATCTAATTGGTTCCGCCGATGTCGATGGTTGATCTTATCTTCCGCTTGTGCGAGATCATAGGAGATTTGTTGCCAGATTTGTCGGGGATATGAATAATCCTTTTGACCTCCTCCAATTATGAGAGGATTATTCTTACCCTGTTGAACCACGATAATGAAATATAATCAATCTTATCGAGGGTAGGGTAGGTTTATATTTTTCCCTATCAGTTGTCCCCCATTCCCAAGCTTGCACGTCTAGCTTTGGGAATGTAAATTTTTTTTTTTTTTTTTTTAACCCCTGTGAATAGTACCCGCGGGGTACTATTCCCGCGGGTACTATTCATGCGAATAGTAACTCAGGATTTTTTTTTTTTTTTTTCCAGCCCCTGTGAACAGTACCCGCGGTGGTACTATTCCCGCGGGTACTATTCATGCAAATAGTAACTCAGGATTTATTTATTTATTTATTTATTTATTTTTTCAACCCCTGTGAACAGTACCCGTGGGGTACTATTCCCGCGGGTACTATTCATGTGAATAGTAACTCGGGAAATTTTTTTTTTTTTTCCAACCCCTGTGAACAGTACTCGCGGGGTACTATTCATGTGAATAGTAACTCGGTAATTTTTTTTTTTTTTTTTTAAATACCCTGGGTACTGTTCCCTTGGATACTATTTTTGGTATCCTTAGGTATTCTGCCCCCGGATACTATTTTTAGTACCCTTAGGTATTCTGCCCTTGGATACTATTTCTAGAACCCTTGGGTACTTCGCCTCTGGGTACTCTACTCTTGGGTACTATTTTTAGTACCCTCGGGTATTCTGCCCTTGGGTACTCTTCCCCTTGGTAAGGAAATAAATTGTACGAGCTTCACTCAGGTCGTTACTCCTTTAATAAGGAAATTAAATTTTACGAGCTTCACCTAGCTCGTTCCCTTTAATAAGGAATTTTTATTGACTATCCCTTTATAGTACATGGATGTTAATTACGGGATTTATTCAGCCCGGGTCCTTGTAGTACAGGACATTTATTTACTATCCCTTATAGTACAGGGATATTTGATTACGGGATTCATTCAGCCCAGGTCCTTGTAGTACAGGATACTTATTTACTATCCCTTATAGTACGGGGATATTGATTACGGAATTCATTCAGCCCGGGTCCTTGTAGTACATGACACTTATTTATTATCCCTTATAGTACCGGGATATTTGATTACGGGAATCATTCAACCCATCCCTTTAGTAAGGGAATAAACTTTACGAGCTTTACTCAGCTCGTCCCTTCAGTAAGGGAATTAATTACCACATAAGTATAACACGTGAGGGGGAGGATCGTTTTTTGACCTGACCTTTGTAGGTTAAGTTCTGATCTCTGATAACCATACTTTTGTCAGTTAGGCCCTAGTCTTGGTCTCTGATAACCAAACTTGGGGTAACCAGGCACTGATCTTGGATGACCGAGCCTTTGTAGACTCTGGGCAATCAATTCTTAGTCTTGGTTGACTAGGCCTTGGTTTTGGATAACCAAGCCTTGATTTATAATAACCAAGGGTTGTACCCTTCCCATCGTGTAGATACTAGAAACTCGACTAGCTCGATGTACCAAGGTCCGATCAATCTTCTAAACCTTGTCATCATTGTAGATCGGCGATTGATATCGTATGATCCACTATTCTGCCCCCCATGTTAGGATCTTGGGTGATGACCCATTCTATAGACGTTTATGCAACGGATGGGGTGTTTCGTGCTGCAACAATTTACAGTTGTCTAAAAATATTGGATTGGGTTAGAAATAATTACTAAAAATTAACCTGCAATGGATTATCAATCCAAAATTCTGCATAATCTGAAGTCGATAGGCCATTCCTGCAAGGGAAGAGAGGTGACGACTGTCGTCTGGTAGGTGGAGGCTTAGTGTCCAACGACTAACTTGATGCCTGGTGGATAGAGGCGTGGTACCCAACGGCTGACAGATGACGGTCTGGTAGTCAGTACCAGATGACGGTCTGGTGGTCAGTACCTCGTTGGGTCCAATGATCGCCCTTAACTTAGGAACCTGCTTGGGAATACAGACCTCATTGGACATGGGATCTTGAGGGACATTGGACCTCCTTGGACCTGAAGGTCTCGTTACATTCTTGGGTGTAGAAGGTCACCCTGATTGTATGAACGGACGGAGTAGTGAAACTCCGTTGCTAGAGACATCTTCAGTAGTAGAAGCTTTACTAGTAGGTAGAGACACCCTTGTTGGTGGTGATCTTCTTGATGGTTGGAGACCTACCCATTTATGTAGGTACAGAAAGATCAGAACTTAGTCTTCAACGATCTGGCCTTGGTAATTGGCTGCTGCCCGATATGAGATGGAGTCTTGTCTTAGATGACCAAACCTCAATAGTGAAGGGACCAAGCATCGCTAGATGAAAAACACCATATTGGACTGCCTAGGTCGACGTGCCAAATTTTGAAAGGTGGCATCACGTAACCCACTATTTTGCCCCCAGTATGATAGACGAGTAATAAAGATGTAGAGTCTCGTCCTTATATAAGAACATGGAAACCCGTTGTCAACTGATGACTTTGGGAAGGTTTCCATTGTCAGAAACTTTTGTTTTGCCGTCCGAGCCAAGTCGCGTCGGGATTATTATTTCTTCAAAGAACTAATCGTTCCCACAGACGGTGCCAACTGTTGATGCGTAAATCCTCACGACTCGGAACGACGGCATTTACCTGCAAAACAAAGGGACGTCACTTCGAATAACACCGGTGGGGTGCCAGCCAGGACCCTCCGACGATCAAGTTAGTACTTGTAATCGTATCACATAATAACTATGTATCTTTTGTTTAGGAGTTTTTTCTCATATCTTCTTTAACGGTTTGGTGCCCTATTTATGGCTGTCGAATGGAATCCAATTGGTTCCGCCGATGTCGATGGTTGATCTTATCTTCCGCTTGTGGGAGATCATAGGAGATTTGTTGCCAGATTTGTCGGGGATATGAATAATCCTTTTGACCTCCTCCAATTATGATAGGATTATTCTTACTCTGTTGAACCACGATAATGAAATATAATCAATCTTATCGAGGGTGGGGTAGGTTTATATTTTTTCCTATCACAACTGAAGACGTTAGAAGATCCTGTTTTAGATCTATGACGGTTGTTTTATTGTTTACCTAATTGAAGCTTTGGGTAATGGTGATGAGAATGGATGGTCTTTTGGAATTATAACTGCCAAAAATTGTTACGGGGACCTTTGTCTGCTATTGAATCAGATCCCTGGTTCGAAAACTTCTTTATGTAAGATTTTACTGTTCATAGAGTAATCCTATGGAATATTTTTGCTGCCATCTTTCTCTTTCGTTTTATTTTTCTTTCCTTTTCTTTTTCCATGTCTTTCAACTTCTATCATGTAGTAAAGGAAAAAAAAAAAAAATTCTACCATGTAGATTGGGTTAAATTTGTATACCCAGATCCTCCATTACTTTAATTAAATTCTAGAGAAAAAAGAGTTCTACACGGAGTCTTTGAGAGAGTCAATACTGCTCTCTCTCTCTCTCTACTCTGACCCTACACAAAGAGCTAATCCTCCTGATGGGAAGATTAATGTCAATCAACATTTAGCTGCATTTTGCAAATATATTGTTTCTGGGTACAGGGTACGATTCTCTCCAGTTGTGAATGAGATTGATTTGCCTAATTCTGGTGCTGCCCATCTATTAGATTTGGTTATAATGTACATGGGGTTGAGTACCATTCTGAGTTCTCAGGTTTTAATCTTCCCTATTGCATTATCTATTAGAAAAAGCGATTTGAATGAAAACAACCTATATTTGGCCTCTAAGTTGAGAGAGAAATTGGGAATTTCATTTGGAACTCAGCGAGTGGGGAGTGTTCTTGAATTGGGTAGAATGAAGTTCAAAGGTGGACATTTTGAGCTTCCTAAAGTAATTGTTTCAGAACATTCAGAGACTTTGTTTGAGAATCTAATAGCTTGTGAGGATGCTTTAGATCCAAATGGAGTTATTTGTACCTTCATGTGGTTGATGGGAGTGTTGTATGCAATGAGAGAAGTGTTAGGATTTTGAAGGACAAACATATTATTGTATCAGAGTTTGAGGATACGAAGATTGTAGATATTTTCAAGCGGGTGTCTAGTCGTTTGCTACCACACAGGCTTTATTTGGAATAAATTCTTTATGGGATTGGACTTTATAAAAAATCCCATTTCATGCCATTGAGAAGATGGGTTTTTGAAATGCATGACATTTTCTTTGGCACTATTGGGAGGGGATTCGCATCCGTGAGTGCACTTATTGGGCTATTTGCAACAATTTTTCCCTCATTCAAAGAGCTGATTAAGGATATGTACCATTTAACTCCACATGAATCAGATGTGGGGTTGTCCAAAGGGTGGTCATACGTTTGAGTACTGGAGCATTCATATAGAAGAGTCTCAAAGTAGGTAAAGGAGCAACTTAAATATTACAGTAATTGTATTACTTTTTTTTTTTTCTTTTTTTTTTTTTTTTCTATTTTTGTTGTAGTACATCTTTATTTCTTCGTTTGCCACAGTGAGTGCGTAAAATGTTAATTTATTGTTTGCTCTAAACACATATGCATACATTTCCCCCCTTTTCTGCTTTTGAAGACACAATGCAAATTTGTGTGTAAGACTAATAATGTGGTTTCCAGTGTCCTTTTTTGTAAGTTGTATTTATATTTTTTGTTGGAAATAGTGGCCTGGTTACACACACAACACTATACTATTTGGAAGAGAATAGAAATGGAGGAAAATACTTTTTATTTCATTTCATAGAAAATGAGTACAATGCATATATAGGCCTCACATATGTATGTGTAACCATTACATTTAAATGTCCATAACTCTCCTATCTCCCACTAACATAATCTTCAATATGCATAACTCCCACTAATATAGTATTTGTTAGGCTTAACTCTCATGACTCTTTATTTTACATAACCTTAACTCCCACTAAGACAATTTACTACCCACTAACATGCTAAATTAACACATGCATCATGGATACAAAAATACTTGAAAATACTAAATACTAAAATCAAGTTTATTTTCAACATTTTTTTCCTTGAGTGTTCGCAAAATAAGATGCAAAATTAACCAAAATAAAGTAAATGCAATCATGATGTATCTACGTGCACTGTTGCATTGTATTAACTTGCTTGTTTTGCATTTTGCTTGTTTGATTTGCCTATGATTGCTTCAATGGCGAATTTGATAACATATTTAGAAAATCAACGATGGTTGAAATAAAGGGCATAAAGGATGGGATGACAAATATGAAAACTAAGGGATTGAAAAATTAGACACTTCAATAATATTAAATGTATCAAGAGTGAGAATGTAAGAGCATTGGTGAAATATGATGAGATAATAACAAGAAATTACTCTGAGAAGTTGTCCATTGAAAATCACAAGGGAAAATAAGTCAAGAATAATATCTTAGAGATGAGAGAAAATAATTTCTTTTACAAGATTAGGGTAAGTTAAATTGTATAAAGATAAAATCAAGACGGGCTCAAGGACCAAATGGTATCCCCGTTGAGGCTTGAAAGTGCTGAGGAGATGATGGTATGCTTGGTACTAACATTATGTAGTAAACTAATAACAATTAAGAGAATGCCAATGAGGACGCAAAAAGTATTTTAGATTTTTGCATCAGTAAATAAATGAGTCACTGAAACAAATTATCATTTTATTGTATTTTCAGTACATAGAATAAAATGTTGGACAATCAATAACAATAATTCAAAGAACATCAACAATAAAACAGTTTACTTATTAAGCGGATCAATGGACAAATATAGATAAAGAACAGAGATATCAATATGGTCTTTATTGAAATAGAGAAAGCATATAATAGGATCTTTAGAAAAGAGAGAAGTCGCAGTTGGAATATTAAAGGGCTAGCCTAGTGAATGAGGCTCCTGCTATTGCAGAGTCTTGGGAGGGTTTGCATACGTGTGGTCCTTGTTTTGAAGTAGGAGCATGCCTTTTTATGTCAGGATGCTGTAAAGGAAGCCAAGCATCCAATAAAATTGACAAAAGGCTTGAAATATAATGCCCCAAAGGAGAAGCCTAGGCGTAATGAATCTTTGCTAAGACCCTACAACCATACAGGGGAAGGTACTTCATTTTTGTCTTGATTATTAAGACTTGCAGTTTTTCCAGTTTGTTGTTGGTTTCTTTGACAAATGGCCTCTTGAGATTTCTGAACAGTTTCAAAAGAGGCAGTTTTAAGGCCACCAGCTGGATATGGAAAAAGCAGTTTAAGATTAAAGCCAGATGATGAATGGGATATTGGTCTTAAAGGAGTGGCTACAAGTTCAATGCGTAAGGAGGATCATGTGATAGATATGATGGGAAATAATGCAAATGTTCTGCCGCCTCCATCCCCATCTCCCCCTATAACGTTGAAAAATTCAACTAAGAGTTTAAATCCTGTAAAGTCCTTCACCATTGCATTTCTTCAACAGTATACAAACAGCTTTTCTCAGGAAAATCTTATTGGAGGAGGCATGATTGGCACTGTTTATAGGGCTGAGCTTCCAGGTGGGAAGGCAAGGTTCTTCTGGATTCAAATGGACTGATTTTTTGGGACAACTTTGATAGAGTGATTCCTCATGTCTATTAGTGTCTCTTTTTGTAAATAATGATTTTTATTTCTTGCTAATTGAATGCTCCCCTTACTGGGATTTCTCATAAACTTGCCTCTGTCACAAAGATTAGCTTATAATATAATCCCACCTCTTTGATCCTGCAATTATTTAATTGTTTCTCTATATGATCCTACCTCCTGGTTTGAGACGTTTGATGTAATAAATAAGACAAATTCAGAATTATGTATTGGAAGAAGTCTGTACACTTGGTCTAAATTTTCTTCCAGTCTCTTTAAATAGTTGTCTAATGGTAAATATGGGTATGTTTATGTAACATGACATTTTTAACACTTGACAATGTACATACCATAACGAAGTACTTTCTTATAATAAGTGGTCCCGTATATTGCCTTTATGTTGCATTGTTTCTTTTGACTTATTTATCTATTTTGTTTTTCAATCTTTAGCTACTGGCCGTTAAGAAACTGGATACTGCAGCTTCCAGGCAGCTGAGTGATGAAGATTTTCTTGAACTAGTCTCTGGTATCTCTAAACTTCGACATGCTAATGTTGAGCTCATGGGTTACTGTGCTGAGCATGGGCAACGGTTACTTGTCTATTCATATTGCAACAATGGGACGCTTCACGAAGCACTGCATATGGATGATGAAGTCCACAAAAAAACTTTCATGGAATACTCATATCCACTTGGCACTTGGAGCTGCAAAGGCCCTAGAGTAAGTAGAGCAGCCAACTCCCCTGACTCACCAAATCTTACCACCCATTTATTCAGTATTCTGATGGAATTGGATACTAAATTAAAAGAACATTCTTTCTGGACTGGGAGGTTTAGATATCATTAACACTGCTTTATTTTGCATATGATAGCATTTCTGATCCTCTATTTGGACCTAGCGGAATGGAAACTCAGACAAACTACAACCACCAAGCATTTTAACAATTACTTGGGGTTGGTTATATGAATCCCATGTTTCCATTCGGCTCTGTTTAAGGCCATAGTTTCAGTCAGTCCACATGCTATCATATCTTTTTATACTAACTCTACTTGCATTAACTTTGGTCTTCCTATTCCCCTAGTATAACCCTCATTGTGGACGGAATGGAATCTCAGACCATAATGCTTATTTTGGTTGTTTGTATACTTGTGCAAAGCATGCCAAGCAAATGATCTTATGCTTCTTTATTTTAATCAATAATCTTTTTGGAAGCTGAGGATTTTGCTTTTTGCTTTTTGGCAAAGGTAGCATGGGACTTCAAGTCTGCCAATATTCTCCTTGATGATGAGCTTGCAGTACATGTCTCAGATTGTGGTTTGGCTCCTTTAATAACATCTAACTCTGCAAGTCAGGTGACCATTGTCATGAGATCTTCAAATCCTATTGGCTATTAATTGTTTTGAAGATAATTGCTTGAGCTGGTAACTTAAAAAATAATTATTTTTTCCGTGATTTAGCCGCTTTGATGAGTTTAAATGATAGGCCATAGGTTTTTTTCCTGTCAGCTTATATATCTAATTTTTAGGTCTCTCTTTCGGGATTGTTCATCTAATTTTTTATTTACGAGGATTGATGATCTTTGCAATTCCTTATTTTTGAGGATTGATCTTTGTTATGTTGCATGAAAAAATGATCAAAATCTTGCATAATTTTCTATTCTAATTTTTGGAACTGGTGATCTTTGTTGGCATTCATCAAATGTTGGTTGTTCCTTCATCTTTGTCTCTTGCACGGAATAGAAAGTGGGGTAGCGTTCTTCTGCATCCATGGTTGTTATGCATATCAACTGCATCATGCATGTCCCCTTTTTTTTTTAAGAAGAACTAATATATTGAAAAAAAAGAAGAAGAAGAAATAATATAAGAAATAATTTATAGATTCTCTTTCTATATGCTCGGAACTCGTTCTTCATGCTTTCATACACTGACTTAAAACTGACGACTCAGTAGTTGAGTTTTCCTTTTCGACGCAGTATTGTTGGAACTTATTTTGAAAAGTATTCTTGTTTTTGCTCATATGAGTCAGTTTTGTTTCTGACTTTCAGTTAAAAGATGTTAATGTTAAAGACCAATTATGTTTAGTAATGCATTTATCTATTAATTTAGTAGTTTATAAACTTTCACTCGCTATGCTCAGAAAAACACTGAATTTAATGGTAAGAGAAACAAATTTTATGTGGAACGGTAATAGGATACTATTTGAATTATAGGCGTGCTACAAAATGTCCATATTGAACTACAAGTTTGAATTGAATTTTAGTTCCTCATAGTTTTTGCAAATACCTGTTCATTATTAGTTGCAAGGTCATGGTTATGGTACCCCAGAACTTGAGTGTGGAAACTACAATTATCAGAGTGATAACTACAGCTTTGGAGTTGTTATGTTGGAACTTCTCACAGGGCGAAAATCCTATGACAGGTTAGTTATCTCTTCCAGGGGAACATGTTTTAGCAATCAGCGTAGTTCTGTTCACAGCTGCTATTTCTCAACGAACTGAATCCAAATTATGCCAAAATCAACTGTCTGTCGTGGATAAAATTGCAGAACTAATGTAAATTCTAATGTCCAGCTCACGACCTCGAGGAGAGCAATTTCTGGTTAGATGGGCAATTCCTCAGCTTCACGACATAAATGCATTATCAAGGATGGTTGACCCTTCTCTAAATGGGTTGTATCCATCTAAGTCTTTCTCTCGTTTTACCGATATAATTTCTCTCTGTGTCCAGGTGAGTCTTCTTTTGCTAAGGTTTTTTCTTTTCCCATGTTTTGTAAGAAACCCGTTTAGGAGACAGACATTTTGTGGACCTCTGAATAACTAACATCGATTGCATGGTTTCGGTAGTCAAAGTTTTTTTCGCCCTTGCTCAAGTGGTCATGTCAACATATAACCCTACTTTTAGGAATACTGTGTCCATTTCATCGAAAACCATTATGGGAATATTGGGTATTCTATTGACTATGGGGGGATTTTTTTGGTAAATTAACTGTGAAAGGACATGTTTTGACACATAACTTGACAACATGCAAGTCATGACTCATGAGAGAGAATAATTAAGATTTAGCCCCAATAGAGTTTAATGTATTCTTGTATATTAGTCCAGTTGCAAGTTAATGAAAAGAGATGTGCATGACACTTTTTTTCTTTAATTATTTCATTGCTTTACCTGGAGAAAACCATATACCTCATGTCAATCCTTTCTTTTTCCTTTGGCAGGCCGAGCCAGAATTCCGATGTCTGAAATTGTCCAGAACCTCTTGCACACGATTCAGAGAGATCCCTGAGAAAGAGGTGGATGGGGATTAACTTAATCAAGAAAATGAGCATTGGAGATGTTAAATATGGTTGAGGGTGCAATGGTTCAAAGTTTGTTCTCCTAGGTCCTTGAGAAAATATTTTGTACAAAATAGGTGCATGAATAGATCTGATTATTTATTTATTATTATACATAAATAAAAAAAAAAATTTTGGTGAACATTAGTTAGATTTGAAATCAACCTGCAAAAAAATATTATTAGCGTTGCCTGCTCCCTAAACCTGTTCTAATAGGGTTCGTTTTTCAACAGCTTTACTTGACCTATGATGGGATTTCATTATGTTATATATCTTAATCAAATTGTGTAATTGTTACGATGTATGATTATTTCTTACTAATGTAATAACCAATTGTGGTTTTGCAAATGTGACTCATGTTCTGGATTAGTGTTGTGTGTTCTCTTGTTGTGTACTTCTCTTTTGTTTTTATATTGCACAGCAAATGTTCTACAACATTTGTATGTGGCAGTTGCAGAACTTTCATTTTTCTCAACTAACCAAAATTGTTTCCAGAATTTTGGTAAAGCTTAGTGTTGATGCGTAAATCTTCACGACTCGAAACGACGGCGTTTACCTGCAAAACAAAGGGACGTCACTTAGAATAGCACCGGTGGGGTGCCAGCCAAGGACCCTCCGATGATCAAGTTAGTACTTGTAATCGTATCACATAATAACTATGTATCTTTTGTTTAGGAGTTTGATCTCATACCTTCTTTAACAGCTTGGTACCCTATTTATGGCTGTCGATTGGAATCCAATTGGTTCCGCCGATGGCGAGATCATAGGAGATTTGTTGCCAGATTTGTCGGGGTTATGAATAATCCTTTTGACTTCCTCTAATTATGATAGGATTATTCTTACCCTGTTGAACTACGTCAGATTTCATTGCCCTTGATAATGAAATATAATCAATCTTATTGAGGGTAGCGTAGGTTTATATTTTTCCCTATCAGGGTTTATATTTTTCCTTATCAGTTGCCCCCCATTCCCAAGATTGCACATCTAGCTTTGGGAATGTAAATTATTTATTTATTTATTTATTCAACCCCTGTGAACAGTACCATCGGGGTACTATTCCCGCGGGTACTATTCATGCGAATAGTAACTCAGGATTTAATTTTTTTTTTTTTTTCAACCCTTGTGAACAGTACCCGCAGGGTACTATTCATGCGAATAGTAACTCAGGATTCAATTTTTTTTTTTTTCAACCCTTGGGAACAGTACCCGCGGGATATTATTCCCACGGGTACTATTCATGTGAATAGTAACTCGGGATTTTTTTTTTATTTTTTATTTTTTATTTTTACCCTGGGTACTGTTCCCTTAGATACTATTTTTGGTACCCTTAGGTATTCTGCCCCCGAATACTACTTTTAGTACCCTTGGGTATTCCGCCTCTGGGTACTCTGCCCCTAGGTACTATTTTTAGTATCCTCGGGTATTCTGCCCCTGGGTACTCTTCCCCTTGGTAAGGGAATAAATTGTACGAGCTTCACTCAGGTCGTTACTCCTTTAATAAGGAAATTAAATTTTACGAGTTTCACCCAACTCGTCCCCTTTAATAAGGAATTTTTATTGACTATCCTTTTATAGTACATGGATGTTAATTACGGGATTTATTCAGCCCGGGTCCTTGTAGTACAGGACATTTATTTACTATCCCTTATAGTACGGAGATATTTGATTACGGGATTCATTCAGGCCAGGTCCTTGTAGTACATGATACTTATTTACTATCCCTTATAGTACGGGGATATTGATTACGGGATTTATTCAGCCCGGATCCTTCTAGTACAGGACACTTATTTACTATCTCTTATAGTACGGGAATATTTGATTACGGGAATCATTCAACCCATCCCTTTAGCAAGGGAATAAACTTTACGAGCTTTACTCAGCTCGTCCCTTTAGTAAGGGAATTAATTACCACATAAGTATAACACGGAGGGGAATGATCATTTTTTGACCTGACCTTTGTAGGTTAAGTCCTGATCTCTGATGACCATACTTTTGTCAGTTAGGCCCTAGTCTTGGTCTCTGATGACCAAACTTGGGGTAACTAGGCACTGATCTTGGATGATCGAGCCTTTGTAGACTTTGGGCAATCAATTCTTAGTCTTGGTTGACTAGGCCTTGGTTTTGGATAACCAAGCCTTGATTTATAATAACCAAGGATTGTACCCTTCCTGTCGTGTAGAGACTAGAAACCCGACTAGCTCGATGTACCAAGGTACGATCAATCTTCTAAACCTTGTCATCATATGTAGATCGGCGATTGATATCGTATGATCCACTATTCTGCCCCCCATGTTGGGATCTTGGGTGATGACCCATTCTATAGACGTTTATGCAACGGATGGGGTGTCTGGTGCTGCAACAATTTACAGTTGTCTAAAAATATTGGATTGGGTTAGAAGTAATTACTAAAAATTAACCTGCAATGAATTATCAATCCAAAATTCTGCATAATCTGAAGTTGATAAGCCATTTCTGCACGGGAAGAGAGGTGACGACTGTCGTTTGGTAGGTGAGGCTTAGTGTCCAGCGACTGGCTTGATACCTGGTGGATAGAGGCGTGGTACCCAACGGCTGACAGATGACGGTGGTGGTCAGTACCAGATGACGGTCTGGTGGTCAGTACTAGATGACGATCTGGTGGTCAATACCTCATTGGGTCCAATGATCGCCCTTAACTTAAGAACCTGCTTGGGAATACAGACCTCAGTGGACATGAGATCTTGAGGGACATTGGACCTCCTTGGACCTGAAGGTCTCGATACATTCTTGGGTGTAGAAGGCCACCCTGATTGTATGAACGAACGGAGTAATGAAACTCCGTTGCTAGAGGCATCCTTAGTAGTAGAAGCTTTACTAGTAGGTAGAGACACCCTTGTTGGTGGTGATCTTTTTGATGGGTGGAGACCTACCCATTTATGTCGGTACAGAAAGACCAGACCTTAGTCTTCAACGATCTGGCTTTGGTAATTGGCTGCTGCCAGATATGAGATAGAGTCTGGTCTTAAACGACCAAACCTCAATAGTGAAGGGACCAAGCATCGCTAGATGGAAAACACCATATTGGACTACCTGAGTTGACGTGCCAAATTTTGAAAGGTGGCATCACGTAACCCACTGTTTTGCCCCCAGTATGATAGACAAGTAATCAAGATATAGAGTCTCGTCCTTATATAAGAATATGGAAACCCGTTGTCAATTGATGACTTTGGGAAGGTTTCCATGATCAGAAACTTTCGTCTTGCCATCCGAGCCAAGTCGCGTCGGGATTATTATTTCTTCAGAGAACTAATCGTTCCCACAGATGGCGCCAGCTGTTGATGCGTAAATCCTCACGACTTGGAATGACGGCGTTTACCTGCAAAACAAAGGGACGTCACTTTGAATGGCACCAGTGGGGTGCCAGCCAAGGACCCTCCGATGATCAAGTTAGTACTTGTAATCGTATCACATAATAACTATGTATCTTTTGTTTAGGAGTTTTTTCTCATACCTTCTTTAACGACTTGGTGCCCTATTTATGGCTGTCGATTGGAATCCAATTGATTCCGCCGATGTTGGTTGATCTTATCTCCCGCTTGTGCGAGATCATAGGAGATTTGTTGCCAGATTTGTCGGGGATATGAATAATTCTTTTGACCTCCTCCAATTATGATAGGAATATTCTTAACCTGTTGAATCACGTCAGATTTCATTATCCTTGATAATGAAATATAATCAATCTTATCGAGGGTAGGGTAGGTTTATATTTTTCCCTATCACTTAGTGTTAAACTAAGGATGAACAAAATTTAAACAGATTTAAACAGCAGTAGCTTGTGATCAATATATCATTGTTGTGTTTGGCGGACCGAGAATTTGCGTCTTAGATTTGGGATTGAAGAAAATTTAATTAAATATCGAAGCTGCGGATTTAGTGCTACCAAACATAACATATGTGTATTTTGATTATTTATTGTTTGAATTTGAGTATGAAATATGTTGAATTTCATCCCAAGTACTTGTTTTAAAGCTCTACTTTATATTAGCTGTTTCAAAGAAATATGGTTTGAACTTTTATTCCATTTCATTCCTTGATGTGGTGTTAAAAGTTCGAACTGTTGTTTTTGTGAAAGTGTGATACAACTAATAAATGGGTAATTTTTGATAATCTTCGCAAATAAAGATTTACCAGATAAATTCTTGGCTGAGTTGAGCTAAAACATAGTAATGTTACTAAAACTACAATAATTCATAATGCAATTATAACAATCCTAATTTTATTTTTATTTTTGCTATAATCTTTAAATACTAGTTTATTTTTTGTTAAATAATTTTTAGCTGTCTTAACTTTTGTTTGTTTATTTATTTGTAGATAGTATTCAGTATTCATATTCCGATACTTTCACTTATACTAACATAATACGGTTGGGCCACTGACTAACTTTTGTGTATTTCATATCTTTTAAACGAGAATCGTACAAATTGTGATGTAAGTCACATAATCATTCTCAACGAGAATAATGACTTAAGTCACACAATTTTTCTCAACAGGTGTCGCTCTCATACTTTGAACTTCCCGCTTTCACGCTTCGTCCGTTCTTGTTCAAATTCTCATTATTCATGATTTAATTATGATGCTCTCATACTCACCTTTGTTCCCACTTAATGTGACTTAAATTGTGACAATGCTCCCATTCTCGCCTTCGTTTCACTTAATGTGACTTAAATTGTGACAATGTACTGATTAATTTCTTAAAACTTAACCGTTAAGAATGAGGCAAGAATTTTCTCTGATTTCGCCTTTTAATGGTCCATTCTAATTGCGTAGCCCAACGCCGTGCTTGTTAAGGTTGACTAAATTTCTATCCAATACTTCAAATACATTATACATCAATTGAAAAGTTAAAGTATACCCCACTCTTGTGGATCCCACCATTTAAATGGTATGATGGAAGTGCAAGAGTCTGTCTAAATTAAAAGTCTTAACTATTTACCGTGGTCTACAATTTTTAACACGTATACATTTATTGTTTAGAAATGTTTTTTAAATATAACAAATTATAAAGTTCATAAGATACAAAAATTTTGTAGTTGGTGATATCTTCTTTTGCTTCTCTAAATGAATGTTGACGGTTTTAAAAGAACAAAATGGATGTATGTATAAATTTTTTTGTCAAAAATAAAAAATAATAATAATAAAAATAAGTTTCAAGTTTTATTTTGACCCTCATGCACAATTTAATAAATGTGATGGTGGTATAGTGTTATTTCACCTTAATAAGATGATGACCATAAGATTAGGAATTTGATTGTGCAATTCTAGCCTACTAGACTTGAACGAAATTTTAACCTGCTCCAAATTTAGAAAACAAAATGATTCAGAGACCTGTGAAATGTCCCATTGCATCAAGTTTTTTTCTAGGAAGGTAAAAATTTGTTAGCCAAAATGGAGGTATTTTGGTCCCATTGCATCAAGTTGTCCCATATAAGTTGAATAGGTGAGACAAGGGAATACAAAAAGTCATGGGGGCACATTTGTCATTTCATAAATTTACGAGGGATATATAGGTGATTGTTGTTAGGATGGAACAAAAGGGCAAGCAATACCGCTGTCCAACAGCATAGAGAACGAGAAAGTGGAGAGAGAAAGAGGGAGGACAACAGAGATTTTCCAGGAAAATCACACACACACATGTATGTGTTTTGTCTTTCACCATCGTCCACGTTTGTCTCTCTGTCTACATACCTAATCGTATTCTTCTTCTTAATTAATTGATTTTATTTCGACCTGAATAGTAATAGAACCCGTCAACCCCTTTTCTCACGCATACTTGTACATCAAAACATACCCCAAAATTAATACGAAAAAAAAGAAAAAGAAAAAGAAAAGGAAAATACACCAAAACCACCATCTAAACCACATTTTAATTCCAAAACCACCATTTTCTCCCTCAAAACCACCACTTCTTATTCAAAAACTACGTTTCTCTGTCTTACTCGCAATACCACCGTTACTACTCCCAAACTTGGTTTTACTTTCTCAGAAGGTGGTATCGGTATATTTCTTATCTTCTTATAATTTTCTTCGCAAGCAAACAGGTTGGTTCTTTTCCAATTTGGTTTTTCCTTGAGAGGAATGGTGTTCGCTAAAGTGAGCCGGGTGCGCAAGAAAAGAAGGTGAAGGATACGATATAGAAAAGGTGGGTGTGTTTGTTCGTAATCCGGGTGCGCATAATAATAGAAAAAGTAAGTGTTGGTCGAGTCGTTGACGTACACGTGGAGGGTTGTGATGGGGCGGAGACGAGGATGGTGGTGGCGAGGGGCAGGTGGGGTACGGAAGACTGGTCCGCCGTTGCTTTGGAGCTCCGAGCCCGAACCCTCCACCACTGCAGATTCAACCCCGAGGTATATATACATATATATATATATTGATATATATATTTATATATATAAGCATGTATGTTTGTTTCTATTACTGGGATATATCGATCGAGACACAAGCCCGTGATATTGCTGCTTTATTCTTCTTATCTAACATTTCTATGTTTTTATATTTTGTTATGTAAACTTTTGTTTATGTTAATTTGATTTAGTTAGGAAATAATTGTATTATGTTTAGTTATTGAGATAGATTTTGTGGGGTCTAGGGAATGAGTAAATGCCGTTAGGATATATTCATGCCATTTTCCCATAACACGCAGACACGTGTGATGCATTTTTCATTGCAAATATCTATTAACCATGGACAAACATGAGTGGGTAGTTACTAGTTTGGCATATCTTTTGCTAGTTAATAAACTTTTGATTTTGATTTTATTTTATTATTATTATTTTTTTGGAAGATTCAGTAAACGCGCGCACTTCCCTTTGAAGAGATGGGTTTGTATCAGATGGGTTATTGCCTATTTGGTAACTTCAGAATGTTTTGGACAACTAAGGGTCCGTTTGGATGGCGATAACGTTATATGTTATGGTTTGGTACGATATGAAAACAACTGTTTTGGTATTGGTATGTTTTTAGTAGAAATCGGATCCATGTTTGGTAACGATTGTTTTGTTTTTAATAATTGTATATCAGAAACATGATAACGCGTTTGGTATTGTCATGCGTTTTAAGAAATCCAAAAACAAAACACGTTTGAGAATAGTGTTTTGTTATTAAAAATTCTGAATCAATAACAGAATACCTGTTTGGTAAAGACTGTTTTGTTTTGTTTTGAAAAATTATATATATGAATACAATTATAAGTTTATATGTAAAATAGTCCATTTTTCTTTATGATTTGAAATAATTTATGGAAAAAAAAAAAAAAAAAAATCTGCATTAGAGTTGGGAAATTTTTTTTTGGTTAAATTTACAAGTATAATGGCAACCAAACTACTTTGTAATAATGAATAAATCTGCATAAACATGATTAATGGCAACCAAATTACAAATCTAACTTTGTAATAATCTTTCAATGAGAGTAGATCTTTGCACTCCATTTATCTTTTTCTTTTGGCTTGCATTCCATTTAACTTTGTTTTGTTTCATATATATATATATATATATATTCATGAAGAATGTGAGAGAGAGAGAGAGATCCTTGTAGTTAAAACTAACAAGAAACAAAGCCAAAACGTTAATCGTCTTGAATTGATCAGAGTTGAAATTTGGTGAACATTGAAGCTTGTAAATAGTTTTACTTCACTTAGATTAGTTTGAAATTTTGCAGTGGAGGTCCTTCAAATTGGTAATATTTTTTTTTGTTTAGTCATAAGACCATTTCCCCTTTTGTTGAGTATTTATTTTGATAACGGACTTGTGAATATTTCATACAATATCCAACCATAAGCAGAATTGATAAATATGAATAAAGATTAAAAGTAAGCAATCAAGGAAGATCCCTCTTACAAGACTGAACGACATTCACATATATACTTCCATGTATAGTTTTGCTTTATACATCACAATCTTAAGAACTTGAGTGTTGCATCATTCACATATATACTTCCACATATAAGAAGCTAGACATTCCTTTAAAATATTTGAAAGTACACACACACTTCATTACACTTACAAAAAATGTACACATAATTGGAGATCACTAATATTCATTCCATAAAATGTACACCCACTTTTTTATACTTGCATAGGCCTCCATTTGATTAACTTAGAGATCACTAGCTTTCTGGAGTTGCAGCAACTAGAGAATGCTTCCTATCAATCCCGCTGGTGCCACTGCCTACAACTTACTGCCATGTCCTTCAATGTAGTAGCAAAAAATGAATTTGAATGTAAAACAAGACATTACCTATAGTAGCAAAATATAAAGCAGAGTTAAATTAAATTTTTATTATTTTTTAAAAAAAAAATCCGGCATGACTTCCCCTTAAAAATGGACATTTCCAAAATTTCAAAACACAATAAACCCAAGGGACACCGCCCACAAAATTCATTTAACAAGGGACACCGCCCACAAAATTATTTCAATAAGGGACACCACCCACAAAATTCATTTAATAAGGGACACCGCCCACAAAATTATTTCAATAAGGGACACCGCCCACAAAATTCAACTAACAAGGGACACCGTCCACAAATTTAATTCAAGCAAGATATATCTAACCTTCTTTCAGGCTAAGCTGCAAATTTGGAGTGTAAATGATCTCATGCAAAACAAAACACATGAAGAACATTAGAGAAAAACAAAATAACACACGGTAGGAATGAAATAATTAGAAGTAGTAAATAAGATATATCTAACCTTTTTTCAGGCTAAACTGCAAATTTGGAGTGTAAATGACCTCATGCAAAACAAAACACATGAACAACATTAGATAAAAACAAAATAACACACGGTAGGAATGAAATAATCAGAAGTAGTAAACAAATATATCTAACCTTTTTTCAGGCTAAGCTGCAAATTTGGAGTGTAAATGACCTCAGCTTCATGTGTTGCCACTTGAGGCATTGTTAGCACTTGGTGAGGTCTGGGTGGCTTTGTAGAAGGATGAACATGCTTGCCAGTAGCATGTGTATTCCCAAAAATCCTTACCATCTGCTCATAATTCTTACACCCCTGTTTTTTTATTTTTTTTCCATGCTTGAGAACCTACACGTTATCAACTTACAATTATTGTTCATCAAACCCTTTTAATACTAAATCACTAATTACTTACTGTATGTATGGTAAATAGACACGTATTGAAATACTAACCTTGCACAATCGAACCCATCTTTCAGCTTCCAAGTCAATCATTCCAGTTTCACTGTTGTACCCTACACCAGTCTCAGATAATATTTGTTTGCAATCTTTGTACAATGCTCTTATATTATTGAATTTTTGTCTACATTGGTCCTTCGTGTACTTCTTTCCAGTTTCTAATAACATTGCGTCCACAATATGTGTCCACCCATTTGGATTAAAAGTCGTGCCTGTACGATTTCCTTTTCCAACCTCTTCCTCCATCAAGAGCATGAATTTCTCTTGATGGGCATTACACCAAACAGCGGCATCGGCCTGTTCAACAACTACAACATCCTCACCATTGTCACCATCAAGAGAATGAATGTCTCTTGATGGGTATTGCTCAACATTGTCATTGTTCATGTCCATCTGATTATTATTAAGTAATTGAACAGTTTAGTATATTGAATTGTGTTTTGACTCATAATTCAACACGTCAATGATAAGTAAAAAATGTACTGTCTATAAAACACTTCATCTCACGAAGAGCAAGGTGAAGGAAAGTGGTATATAGCAGTATAACACACAAGGTACTGTCTTTATCTCTTTACGAAATTTCAGGGAAATATTATTGCAAGTACATTTCACAGAAGTAATACCTCTGGATGGCAACAATCATATTTTTGTTTCAGATGTGTGCATAATATACTGAGAGAATATTCTAATCATTTAGTGCATGGTGAGTGTTCCAGTAAATAAATGTATAATAGTATTCTTTAGGCCATTCTTTAGAAACTTAATTGCAACCCTATGAATTTTTGTATAATATCAACAAATATGCGAATGTGAATTGACAAGATTTGACAAATTATCAGTGCATTTTTTTCAAAGAGATGTAAATGTTTATTCTTTTTCTTATATTACCAATGAATATTCAAATATTCAACAAGCGATTCGTTCTCTATTTAGTTATGTGAACAAAAGTTCGTATTCCTCTTCTATTGATTTAATTTCTTTTTTGGATTCTTTGGGGCCTTAGACCCCGGTTTCTTTTATGTCTACGGGACGAGTTCCCCTATTGAACGCCTTTTTTAATATTATTACTTATAAAAAAAATAAAATAATAAGGCTATTCTTTTTAATAAATTAAATTCAGTTTTAATGCATTTCTTGTGGAAGGGTAGTTCTTTAATGAATGCTGGTTCAAAAGTAACTTCGGAGGATGTTTGTTACCCTAAAAAGGAAGGTGGTTTGAGTCTTTGGAGTTGAATGCTTGGAACAGGGCCGCTATGGCTAAGAACTTATGGGAAGTTGTTCAAGTGATGCCTCAATCTCTATGGACTGAATGGGTTAAAGTTCATCTCCTTAGAAATAGAGACTTTTGGTCTATTAAAATTCCTCAAAGTAGTTCTTGGAGCTGGAGGAAAATCTTACAAATTAGAACTAACTTTAGAATGTTTATTATGCATCAAGTGGGTAAAAGGACACACACTTGGTTATGGAATGACTATTGGCTCCCTATGAGCCCTATTGTGATGAGAATAGGTAATAGAGTCATCTTTGACTCAGGTTTACAATGAACAAACAACTGTGGCTGATATTATAGTTAATAACCACTGGCAGTGGCCTCAAACCAACACCCTTGAGCTTATTGAGCTAAGGAATGCCATACCTTCAGATTTCCAGCCTTTCTAAATAATGATCAAGTTATTTTGTTACCTAGTAAGGGGCAGTTTACCATTAGAACTGCTTGGGAAAATATTAGACCTAAGAAAAATGTTGTTGCTTGGAATGAGACTGTTTGGTTTAAAGGAGCTATTCACAAGCATTCTTTTATCTGTTCGCTTGCCTGTTTAAATAAATTGCTAACTCAGAACAGGATTTGGATTTGCCTGAATCTGTTTTGAGGATCTAATGCTTTTGCTTATGTTGTGCCATCTCTTACTCTGCAGCAGGCCTGTTAGCTCTGACCAGGTCTGTTGTGTTTTTTTTAGGTGTATTCTTCATAATATCAGGGTTGTCGTTTGGATTTCTTGGTGCTGTAGCTGGAAGTTGTTCTGTTATTAAGATTAGTACTCTAATTCTTGTATTCTCAAGTCTTGTTCTGTTTTTTACATTTAGGGTCTGTTTTTGTTGGTTATGGTCTTGTGGAAAGATAATAGTGAAACTCCATTTTCTGTTGATATTTGAATTCCCTAGTTTAAATTTTATTCTAGGATTTACTTGTATTTATTCTTCTTTTTCAAGTCGTCTAAATTATACTGGTTTGAATGTTTACAGAACTGTGAAGCACATTAAAATATTGGCGGGGCCTAGCCAATATAATGCACAAATTAAAAAAAAAAAAAATATTGGTTGTAGATTTCATCATCCTAAGTTTGAGAATTTAAAAGTTGATGAATGTTTAAATTTTATCCCTTTGTCGAATCTTTTGTCCTCCCATTTGTCCTTAAATAATATAATACAACAAATTGATCATTCAAACAATTTAATAATTTACAAATATCAATTTTAATTTTGCTTTTTAATGTACGATCAAGCCTGATATGATATAAGAGCCTGTTAGGTTGATTTATACATAATACAGATCCTTTGCAAAATTGTAATTTGGACCAAGAACAGATCTTGAAAATATCGCTAAAATCGATAGTTATAATTAACTCAGTCAACATTCTAATTGCTTCCACATTGCAACACACACAATCGATGGATGACTTATAAACCCTTATATCAGAACCATGGTTGATAGAAGAAACAACCCAGAAACAGGGCTAAAATCAAACCCTAGATCTCCGTCACAGCCTCATGAAACTTGTGATCTGGACACAAATGCCCTAAATTACAACACTCACAACATGATTCGAATAAAGATCAGAACTTGGAAACGCAATAAAGATTCTGATTGTCACAATATTAGAGAGAGAAAGTGAACACGAGGACCTCCCAAATGTAAATCTCAAAAGCGAAGATATATGTGATCTATAGATACAAACAGAGACACAAAATGACGTACCTGGTGGAGGAGCTCTGCCAGATCGGTGGTGGAGAAACTTGAGATCTGGACACAAATGCTCTAAATTACAACACTCACAACATGATTGGAATAAAGATCAGAACTTGGAAACGCAATATAGACTCTGATTGTCACAATATTAGAGAGAGAAAGTGAACACGAGGACCTCCCAAATGTAAATCTCAAAAGCGAAGATATATGTGATCTATAGATACAAACAGAGACACAAAATGACGTACCTGGTGGAGGAGCTCTGCCAGATCGGTGGTGGAAAAGGTTGGATCGCCACTGAAGTCGCCTTTCAGGGAGCTACGCGAAGAGAGAGAAACGATGCTGAAAAATGACCTAAAATCTGATATGCGACCTTATATACATGATATCACCGCTACAGTAAAAACGAGGGTTGGTTTGGTTTTGGTTTGAGATCAATTCACCGCTACAGTGCCATATCAGTCTAAATATCACCAAAATGTTGATATGGGTTTTGGCCCAAAAATGATAATGTTTTGGCACTGTTAAATACCATATCAGCCCGCTCCAAACATGATATTGGCCCAAAACCAAAATCAAAACACCAAAACAATATCAGATATGGGCCTCCGAACAGGCCCTAAATTTTGTAAAATGGGTATTTTGGCTACTCCAAAAAGCACCCAAAGGAATCGTGTCAAAGGTGCCTGCCACTTTTATTGGAGTAATTTTTTATTAGTGAGAGAGAGAGAGGGATTTTGATAATATGGGTATCGGGAGAGTGACTTTGATAATATGGGTATAGACACACACGGGAGAGTGACGGATTCATGAGAAGTGGGGCCCATTGGATGGCTATACGCGCTACCTATGGCGAGGGTTTTAAATTGCCAGCACGTGAGGCCCGCGATGCGGCGAGCCCCATACGGACATCCTTCGCTCGCCAAATGGGTATAGTCCGGGCCACAACTTTATTACACCGGATGCACAATAATGGTAGTCTCATTTTAAAGTGTTTGGTTCAATGATTGCCACATCAGTGGTGTTTAAAAATCAATTGGGACTTTATCATTTTCCTTTTTTTTATTACCAAGTTAAAGACAATATGTCATTTTATTTAGAATTGGAGTGCATTTATTCAAAAGTGGAGGGCATGAATCACTTTATTGCTCGTTCTATAAAAATTATTATTTCCAATTACCTGCACACCATTGCAATCTAGTGTCCATTTTGGTTAATGGTGTACCTTAGTGATAAGGTGAAAAATGTTAGTGCTGAATTGGAGGTTTCGCTGCTGCTTACCTATAAATAATTTTTTTGTTTTTTTCACTGGTGCATGGACAAATCTATGTTGTATGTGTCCAAATCAGGTAACCTACTTTCTTTTGTTTTATCACACTAGTGGGGCTATTCCTAGTATGTCCCTCACATTGTGATTAATAAGCCTATATCTTCTAGCCACCCCTATCATCATCTCAAGATTCTTAATTCAGATACCTGAATGCATTGCTCTTGTTTCATTCTTAGAGCCTAGCACTCTGCCCCACACAAGATAGCTGGCCTAATGACCCTTCTGTAAAATTTCCCTTTGAACTTATTGGTTATTTTTTTTAATCACATAGTTTTCCACTAGCCAGTCTCCATTTTGTCAATCTTACTCCAATCCTGCTAGTAATTTAAGAAATGATATTTAAAAAGCAAACTTTAAAGCACATCTCATTATGCAGGTGTAAATTTCACTAAAAAGTGAGGTCTCTTTGACTTAGAATTCAGACTCTTTTCTGTAATTTTTTAACTAATATTTATTTGCACAATTATCAAGGACATTTGATCAATGGAATGGCTCCTGGATATAGAAAATAGAAAGTACCAATTTTCTTAAATTTGCCATCAAATAGCACCAAAATGCTCCTTTTAAAGTGAAGACTAATGCAGTATCTACTGCTCACCAATGTGCATCACAAGTTTCAGCAATTTATTGAGGTTAACAAACAATGCCTTAGTCTCCTGACTTGCATGTGAAATATTTTCATCTTACTGAAATGTAGGGACTTTGATGGGTGTTTAAACACACAAGTGTTTGAAAAAACACCGCTATTACCATATTCGCAATATTTCAAATGATTTTGGGGTCCCTAATATATTCCTGAGTTTATGATAAAACAAGCAAACTTTAGTTTTTAAGTCTCTCTTAATATTTAGTTTATGCACCTCTCTTAATGCGTATTGTAATTCTTAATTCACAAAGGCGAGTCCCAAACATTACCCATAATTCTGAATTGGGATTATTAATTCAGTCTAGTTCCAACTTTTATGAGGTTATCTGCATGAATCCTGTTATGCTTCTAGGGTCATAATTTCAGTTTCACACACTACATATCTAATTATGTATGAGAACACGACCATCTTGGTGTTCACTTGAATTTTCTCAGTAGTTAATTTTTACAGGGGTTTGACGGAGTTTTTATGCTGCCTGTCAAATAACTTAATGCAATGCTCCTCCCTTTTAGGGCTTAACTATGTAAGGATAAAGACATTAAACAAATATTTGTTTGCTCTATATTTAACCTTGGTTTTATCCATTAGCGAATCACCAATCACTCAACTCTGTTAGCCAGTAGCTTATGATGGTCAGTAGCTTATTCTTTATAAAAGTCACATTGTAGTTTTTCTTGCATTGACGTGTGTTATTCAAAGGTGTTATTTGATTAAATTTTGGTGGTTACATGATATTTTACATTAGAATTGATAAAGTTTTATATGATCCCAGGCTTGTAAATCCAAGTATGAGGACTTGCAACAACGTTATGCTGGGTGCACGTGAGTAGAACGGTTTATTTTTTGTAAGTTAATTAATGTGAATGGAAAACTTATTTTATAGGCTTTACTCTTACTCTCTTTTTTCTTAAATGACTCTTAGTATCCTAGAGGTACATATGTATTGCTAATGTGGAGTTTTAGTTTAATGTCTACACTAGTATGCAATACAACACTGCCTCAACAGTATAGGCACTAAATAAGGTGTTGTAAGACTGACATATTTTGTTGGAAGTATGACATGCGGAAGGGGTATTTTGTTCCAAAGTCCAAATGGTGGGCTTGCCTAAAGTCCACTTACTGTTTGTTTTAAAATCAAGTGCCAAATGTGCTTGAGGTTTTTGCCTTATCAAGATTAATTTCAAAGTTTGCTGAACATGTACCAGACACATGCTGTGGCCAGTTGTAACCAGGATTCATTCTTTTTTATTTTCATCAACACAATTAGTGGAGCGTCTAATTTTGCCAAAAGCACTATCCTCCTTGTTTATCAAAACTATATTGAGATTTTAGCCCATTTTATTCACAACAGTATCTTATTTTTCTTCTCACTTTTCCCCCTTTCTTCCCGAATCTTTAGCATTTCAGCTAGCTATGAGTATATATGTGCTCTTGAAAGATTAGGATGGATTTTGAAGATTTATTTGTTTATTTTTTGTTATTTATACCAGCAGCTGTTAGCTTGACTGGTGTCTCCTCTCATATTTGAAAGGACATGGTTCAAGTCCCACCCAATTCAGAAGCGTTTCTGTGCCTACTTATGAAAAAAGAATCTCTTTATGTATGTTGATTTCTGTTTCACACATCATCCTTTTTTATAATAGATTTGAAAACTTGGGGTTTGGAAAATTCCATTGCTACTACTACAAATTCTTATTTTTGGTTTGTTTTGTTTAATGAAGTTTAAGCATAATCAGCTTCGGGTTTAGTGTTTTTCAGACAACTATGTTCAGAAATGAACCTTTCACTGACAAATCTCTCATTCATATACCTTAATGTTTCACTCCTTAGAGCTTGGTTTGAAGAGCTACGAAAACAACGAGTGGCTGAATTGAGGCAAGAATTGGAAAAATCTGAAGATTTGATTGGGTGAGTCTATATTTTACGGTGATTTTGATGCATTCTAACTCTTCCTTGAATTTGGGAGAAAGCTCAATGAAGCCACTGAAAATAAGCAGATTGTAGCTTCAAGTTTTACTGCAGAACAATTATAGGAATCATGAGGTTACTATTTAAAAAACAGGATATATCTGATGTGCAGATTCCTATAATTGCCACATGCTCAATCTTTAATTATTTGACCCATGGCATGGAAGTCCTATTGATTTGCTAATGTTTCTGTATTGAACCATGCATCTTTTTTAGCCTTGCAGGATTCACTATTTCATTGATGAATTGTTTTACTTAGTTCGTACTGTTTCAGGTTTCTTGAGTCAAAGCTTGGAAGTCTTGAGTCTGAGAAAGGAGATTATAGTCGGGTTGATTGTGGCTTTAGCCAGACTGAATTTCCTGTACCTTCACTAAAATCAGCAGGAGCAGAATCTGTTGGTGAAGAGACATCTAAGGATGGACTATCTGCTGGCAGTTTCACGCAGGATACCAGGAACTGGTCCCCTGAATATCCTATTCCTGCAACAGCATCAGCTGCAGAGATGGATGCAACGCCCGATGCTTCAGAGCCTATGGAGCAAGAAAAACTTTCAAGCGTTGATAAACTGGTACAGATTAGCAATGAACAAGAAGGGACTTTTCGGAGGAGGAGAGGGAAGAGAAAAAGGAAGGATTGTAATAGGGAGTCCAAAGAAGGGAGCATTGGAGACAGTGAGAATTTGGGTTCAACCAATGTTTTAATTAACTCTCAATGCAAGGAAAATTCTAACAGTGACTGTGGTCAGACGGTCAGATCTTCTGGTGTAAATGATCACAATAAAGGTTCAAGTGGGGTTGGAAATGTTGATTTGATGTTGATATTTGATTCTATTGCAAAGAATGAATACGCCTTGGTCTTTCGACGTCAGCTTGATAGCCAGGTAATGATCGACAATATAAGATGGTTCGCGATTTTATCATCTCTATATTGCAGTTAGGCAACCATAGTAGTTATTTGTGGAAAAAATCTCATAAACAATGTTCTATAACAGAAGAGAGCAAGGTACACGAAAATAATCCGGCAGCACTTGGATTTTGACACCATAAGATCAAGAATTGCCAACTGCTCCATCATGTCAGTCAAAGAACTTTTCCGAGATCTGCTTTTGCTTGCAAACAATGCACTGGTCTTTTATTCCAGAAGAACACGTGAATAAAAGTCCGCATTATTACTCAGAGATCATGTCACAAAAGAATATCAGCAGCATTACAAGGTTTCTGGCAACAAAGCTGCCTCTGTCATCTTCTCTATATCGTAAATGTGTAACCTTCCTGTGAAACCTTGGAGCATTCGCCCTTATAAACGCAAATTGGCAGCACATGTTCTCAATGCTGAGAATGTCACTGCTGGAACTCAACAAGGATGTAAAAAACCAAGTGTTGCTGATTCCACTCCTTTAATGGTGTCTTTGATGATGGCAAACAAAGGCTTCGGTCGGGCAGGGAAGGTTGCACTTACAACATCTAATTGACGAACTAAAATTCCAATGAAGGAACGAAAGAGACCTTGGCGGAGGTGAAATTGTTGTAGTTTTAGTCTCTCTAATTTTCTTTTTCTTGTGAAATTCCCAGGCTCTTCTTTCGGTAATCTGAGTCGTTTGCATGATCTTTTGGCGTAATAAGTCTTTTTTTTTTTTTTTTTCCAAATCAGTTAGGCTTTGTTTTGGTTCAAAAAGAGATCAGGAAAAGAAATACTTGTACAGATTAATGAGGCTGTGCGTAATTAAGATTGTAAGATTAGTATGCCACGTTCGTGGATTCTAGTTCTTTAAAAATGAGAGTACATACTGTCTGTTCCCTCCAATTCTGTGTAGCCTTCCCTTTGTTGGTCTAATAACAAAATTGCAACAATTGCTATTCAGAGGAGAACTCGGATTCTCTCCTATGCCATGTCTTCTGCCTTTACATTGCCTTGTCCAACAACTACATTACAATGTTATTTATGGCGATACCCTTTGTCATGAGAATGTTGAAGTACAGTCTACAATGTAATGTGTTGCACTAGCCTTAAAGGACCTGGTCGACCAAGGCACAGGAGGGGGTCTGAATTCTTCCAAGGATACCTGAAAACTAGTAAGCCACATGTGTGGGTTTGTTCTTGGGAAAGAAAAACAAGGAAAAAGTTATTAAGATGGTAGTGCAAATTCACAATTCTGACTCTCTGATCCAGTTCAGTAGGCCCATATTTTTTGAAGTTCGAAGTTTTCTTCACTGGATTTAGAGTTGAAAGGGAGTGAGGAAGAAAGGGGTATCAAGACGTTAATAGTATATATATATATATATTTTTTAAAAAAAAGGAAGAAGAAGAAAAAGAAAAGAAAAGAAAAAAAGGAGGAAGATGCTTACCTATCTTTTTCCCCTCAATTTTGTGTGGAAAAAAAAAAAATTAAAAAAAAAATAAATTTATATAGAAGAGGGAGAACTCCTCTTCCCTACCCTTCTTCCCTCTCCTTGCCAAACTGGTAGAGTTCCTCTCCCATTTCCCTTGTATTTTCCCCTTCATTGACATCCCCAAACCAAATACAATTACCAATTTTTGATATCACACCTAATAACAAGTTTTAAAAACTTCTGCATGCCCTTTGATTTGTTGCCAAATTATGTCACATTCAGCACATAATTAAGTAGGGGTAATGTACTTTATTCAAAAGGGCTCCTAATTTAACAAGAACAATTATTCACTCATTTACTGGGAAAAAAAAAAATTCAATCAATCTTATGAAGGTTTTTTTTTTTAATCTTCTATTTTTTGTGTCACACAGGTAAATTACGAAAACACATCTGATTGTTTCATTGAAGAATTGAACTCTCAACCTTTAATTTTTTTCCTTTGACATGTGTGCAGAGATATAGGAATATGGTAGTGAGGGCTGCAACTTGGCGGGTTAGACTGTTAGAGACACAACTCGAATTCAACTCAATATAAGAAATATTAAAAATTAACTCAACCAGAGCTCAATCAATCCTTAAACTTATAAATTTAAGTCTTATTGAGGATTTTGCAAGTTCCATTGAGATTTCGATTTAAAAATTAGTTGTCACATGGCCAATCTCCACCCTGTACCATACTTCAAAACGGCAATTGACAAAAGAAAAACAAAAATATTGAGCTCGCAAGAAATACATGTAATTACATTTTTTTTTTTTTTGTTTTTTTGCCAGATATAATTACATCTAATTGGGTTCACAAATTAGGTTCCTCGGGCTAGAATAATCGGAAGAACTCAGGTTGTCCCACACATGAATCCGGACTCGGACCAAAATGAATTTGGCCCAAGCCTGGACAGAATTGTAAATAGTGATTTTTTTTTTTGGGCTGGGCTTCAGTTAGCCTTGTAGTGGTGAAAGATCTCTCTGTATTCAATATTGCAACCATCCGCCATTTTTAGGGTTTTCTACAGAGCGACCACAAATCCTTGCCGGAACGAAAATGTCTACCCACATCAACGAATTAAAAGAGTATTTGAATGCTTCATTCCTTGATAAAAAAGTGCGGGTTCGTGGATTTGTACCTGAGGACCATCACTCCGTTCCCGAAATGGTTTCGATCGGCCCTCACTTCTCAAATCTTTCATTACCGATTGACGACAACGTGAAGATTCAACTGGCTTCATTTCTCATTTGGTCATCTTATCGACCTGTTAGTTTCGACAGTTACAAAGCAGCCATTGAAGATATACTCGAAGAAGGTATGCAATTTTATTCTGAAACCAGTCCTAGCAATTGGACAGGAGAATCAACTGAAGAGATAAGATCCTCAACTGAAGAGATTGAAGAGATAAGATCCTCAACTGAAGAGATAAGATCCCGTTTTAGATCTATGTTTTTACTTGACGGTTGCTTTATTGTTTACCTAATTGATGCTTTGTGTAATGGTGATGAGAGTGGTGGAAGGTTTTTTGGAATTATCAGTGCCAAAAAATGTTACAGGGACCTTTGTCTGCTATTGAATCAGATCCCCTTCGTGGTGGTTCAAAAACTTCTTTGGGTAAGATTGTACGGTTCAAAGAGTAATTCTCCTGATGTGATGATTAAAGTCCATCAACATTTAGCTGCATTTTGCAGATATATAATTTCTGGGTACAGAGTACGTACTCTCAAGAGATTGATTTGCCTAATTTTGGTGCTGCTCGTCCTGCCCATCTCTTAGATTTGGTTAGGATGTACATGGGGTCGAGTACTCTGAGTTCTCATCATGTAATCTTCCCTATTGGATTAGCTGTTACAGAAAGCGTTTTGAATGAAAACAACCTATATTCGGCCTATATGTCGAGGGAGAATTTGGGAATTTCATTTGAAGTGGGGAATGTTCTTGAACTGGGTAGAATTGGGTTCCAAGATGGACATTTTAAACTTCCTAAAGTAATTATTTCAGAACATTCAGAGACTTTGTTTGTGAATCTAATATCTTGTGAGGATGCTTTAGATAAAAATGGAGTTATTTGTACCTTCATGTGGTTGATGGGAGTGTTGGCACGCGATGAGAGGAGTGTTGGGATTTTGAAGGACAAACATATTATTGTATCAGAGTTTGAGGATACAAAGATTGTTGATATTTTCAAGCGGGTGTCTAGACATTTGCTACCACAGATTCTTTATTTGGAAGGAGTTCTACATCAGATTGGAGTTTATAAAAAATCCCGTTACATGTCATAGAGAAGATGTGCTTTTAGAATGCTTAACTTTTTCTTTGGCAATATTGGGAGGGGATTCTCAACCTTGAGTGGACTTCTTGGGTTAGTTCTAACAGTTTTTGGCAATATTGGGAAGGGATTCTCAACCTTGAGTGGACTTCTTGGGTTAGTTCTAACAGTTATTGGACTTTTTCCCATATTGAAAGAGCTGATTAAGAAAATCTTCCGGTTAAATTCACATGAATCAGATGTGGGGTCGATCAAAGGGTGGTCAGGCATTTGAGTACTGGAGCATTCGTAAAGAAGAGTCTCAAAGTAGGTAAAGGAGCAACTTATATATTACATCTTTATTTCTTCGTTTGCCACAATGAGTGCATAAAATGTTATTTTATTGTTTGCTCTAAACACATATGCTTACATTTCCCCCTTTTCTGCTTTTGAAGACACAATGCCAATTTGTGTGTAGGACTAATAATGTGGTTTCCAGTGTCCTTTTTTGTAAGTTGTATTTATATTTTTTTTCCTTGAGTGTTCGCAAAATATGATGCAAAATCAACAAAAATAAAGTAAATGCAATCATGATGTATCTACGTGCACTGTTGCATTGCATTAACTTGCTTGTTTGATTTGCCTATGATTGCTTCAATGGCGAATTTGATAACATATTTAGAAAATCAACGATGGTTGAAATAAAGGGCATAAAGGATGGGATGACAAATATGAAAACCTTTGATGTTAAGGGATTAAAAAATTAGACACTTAAATAATATTAAATGTATCAAGAGTGAGAATGTAGGAGCATTAGTGAAATATGATGAGATAAGAACAAGAAATTACTCTGAGAAGTTGTCCATTGAAAATCACAAGTGAAAATAAGTCAAGAATAATATCTTAGAGATGAGAGAAAATAATTTCGTTTACAAGATTAGGGTAAGTTAAATTGTATTAAAATAAAATAAAGACGGGCCTCAAGGACCAAATGGTATCCCCGTTGAGGCTTGAAAGTGTTGAGGAGATGATGGTATGCTTGGTACTAACATTATGTAGTAAAATAATAACAATTAAGAGATGCCAATGAGGACGCAAAAAGTATTTTAGATTTTTGCATCAGTAAATAAATGAGTCACTGAAACAAATTATCATTTTATTGTATTTTCAGTACAGAGAATAAAATGTTGGACACTCAATAACAATAATTGAAAGAACATCAACAATAAACAATTTACTTATTAAGCGGATCAATGGACAAATATAGATAAAGAACAGAGATATCAATATGGTCTTTATTGAAATAGAGAAAGCATATAATAGGATCTTTAGAAAAGAGAGAAGTTGCAGTTGGAATATTAAGGGCTAGCCTAGTGAATGAGGCTCCTGCCATTGCAGAGTCTCGGGAGGGTTTGCATACATGTGGTCCTTGTTTTAAACCTCCTCCAGGTCTCAGTGGAGCAACCTTACTGTTGTGCAAAGGCCAGCCCTCGCGGTTGGAATATTGACGTGCTAAATACATGTAGGATAAATTAATCGAAGTAAGAACAAATAAGGGGAAGAAGGATTTTCAATTACTCTATGCTTAAATCGAAGATCAACATTAAGTCCATATTGTATGCACTAACTATGGGTGAATAAAAACATTCCAGATAATATTTCATGATACATGTTATTTCCTGATGAACTAAAGCAGGGACAACTGTTGAAGTTACAGATTTGAGAGAAACATAAAAAATCAAGAGGATTTAAGATGAGCAAGACCAAAACTTAAATATAGCATGTAACTTAGCAAACCTTGTTTCAAAGACTTTGGCAAAACTAGAAGTACAAAAGCAAATGTAGTCAAGATTAGAGTTCACAAATTTCACAAAGCGAACATTTTCAGTACCCAGACTCGATTATTTGAAAGAGAGAAACTGAAGAAGATACTAATTATAAATTAAAGCAAGATGGGTTCAAAAAATTGTTTCTCACATATTGTGCAATAAACGCATATATCTAAAATTGAATGGTAAATTTTTATAAGCATTAAGTGTGGAAAACACCCCTAGAGTATATGTTTGTGCACACTCGTTACTTTTTAAGACTGAGCAGTTTAGTCCCAATTTTTGAAGAAATGTACAAATACACCCCCTCTGACCACATTTTGGTGATATTTAACATAAAGTAAATCCGGTTTCCCCTTTTTGCCCTTTTTCCTTCCCATTTTACCCTTCTCACAAATTTATATTAAAAAACCCCCCACTCTTTACCCATTTCTCCCTCTCTATACATCTTTCTCTTCTCTTTCTCTCTCCCTCAAACAGACTCATCTCTGCTCCTCCTTTCTTATTTTGTGTGTATTTTTTTTTTTTTTTTGTTTTGTGTTTAATCAACATTATCAAGAGTTAGAAGACAGGTGGTGCAGGGCAATAGCGATAAGCTGCAACCCTAGCATCCTAGCCCTTGATTACTTCAATAACTAATAAATCTTAACCCTCCAAAGTATTTAAAAACTCACATGACTATTTAAAAAGACTAGGACTATAACTATCATCTACCAAATAACATAAAACATAGAAATCAAATAAGACACATGGAAAATAAGGTGCAGTATGTTTAACTATCATCTGCTTATTGTAATGCACTGTATAACTCATTTAATACTGCATTTGTGGTATGTGTAGTACTGTTACAGAAGCTACAATATGTTTAATGGCTTCTCTTTGTTTGATTATTTGGTACTGGAAGTGAATGTCCAAGCAGAATATGTCTAATGTCTTTCGGTCTTGCTTTAATTTGGGACTAGAAGTGAATGTCCAAGCAGAATTTTGTGACCCCTTGCTCCTTTTTTTTGCCCTTTTCCTGAGCTCTTATAATTATTTAATTTTCTTTTAGGTAATGTGGATAATTAATATTATTTTCATACTTGTATTTTAGAGGAATTTCTATATCTTTCTTAAGGGTTCAAAAATTAAGTTGCAAAATTAACCAGTTTAAAGTAAATGCAATCATGTTGTATGTCATGCACTTTGTATTATCTTTAATGTTTCGCATTTGCTTGTTTATTTTGCCTATGGTTGCTTTAATGACAAATTTGTCAATTTGATAACTCCGCAATTATTTTTAATCCTATGATGAATAAAGAAATGGATTAGCAAGATGAATAAAGAAATGGATTAGCAAGATGATAATTTGCAAGAAAGTTAGATTGTCTATGTGGTAATTGATTCTTATCTAAGCTATATATATATATATATATTGATAAGTTAAGCTATATATATATTTGATAAGTTATATAACCTAAGCTATAATTGAAAAAAAGGGGGGGAAATGCAAAAAACCATGAACTATTCCGCTTTTGCAAAAAACCCTCTTGTTCTACAAAAAACCCTCTATGCTATAAATTGTCACCTAGCTGTGAAAGGGAGAAATTTTTGTTTTTATTCTGAAATTGACGTTTGATTCCATATACCTATTCTTAGAATTGTGTATATATTGGTATAAATTTCTAAATAATAATCAAAAATTTTCAGTAAATGAAAGGCTTTGTCGATTTCGGTGCTTAAATTCTCGATTATTTCTACTCTTTTTTGTTGGGTTTCAGGAAGAGATCATTGTTCTTTGGAGGAAGTAGTTGATTTTTTAGCCTCTTTGAAGGCTTGAGGCCTTTGTGGTCTTTTGTATTTGCTTGGGTTCCGCTCCCCTTCTGAGCGTTTTTTTTATAAAATTTTTACTTATCAAAAAAAAAAAAAAAAAAAAAAATTTCAGTAAATGCATTTTGTTCTAACGTGTTTAAGTTTATGTACATGAGTAAATTTTATGTTGTTGAAATTCATAATGGAGGTTATTTTCAGTGCGTACTTGGCCCATACGTAATCTGTTGTATAAGTGTGAGTGTGTGACACATTGACGTGTGGAATGTGATATAATGTCGATTTTAGAGATTGACGACATGTTAACTCAAATTGGATGTAATATTAAGAGTGAGATGTTTTACTAGGTGCGTATAGCTGATCCATGAGGGCTTGAAATATTTAAGAAATGATAAAGTTGTTCTTTGACATGTTAGAGTTACGCAATGGATTTTCATTGATGAAGTATTATCATATTATGTTGTTGCCGCAAATAGAGGAGAAGAGGATGTGTTTGGTGTTGACATTGAACATTTTTAAGCACTACAAACTAGTGAAGGTCAACCATTTTTTGATCCACTAAATTATGTGTTTAAGGATGATGAGAATATGCGATTGATACTATTGATATCTTTGACAATGAGACGATATATGAACGTAGTGATGAGCTTCGTAGTTTGACTGACTCGTCAAAAGAAGATGAGGTTTGACAATCACAGCCCAGATCTTTTTCCAGTCGCCGGGAAATGGGTAAGAAGAAAATCAAATCAGTATTGAAATTTGAATCAGCTACATAGTTTATGGATGCTTTGAGGACTGATGCTGTCAAAAGGAGACTCAACTTGATGTTCATTAGAAATAAATTGGGTAAGGTAACTGTAGTATGCAAGAAGGAATCTTGATGGAGAATACAAGTATCCAAAAACATAGTTGGAGGTTTCTAAATCAAAACAGTTAGTGATGTCCACAGGTGCACTTTAATGCTGTTTAATATGCAGGGATGCTTATCATTCGTAGCTAAAATATGGGTCATCAGTTTAGAGTTGACTGGGAATAGAAGCATGATGCTTTTAGGGAGGCTGTTGTTAGAGATTTGGGGTTTGATGTATCTTAAATAGAAGGCAAAAAGAGAGGCATTGAAGCTTATTGAGGGGGCCTTGGGGGCCAATATTCTCCCCTGGTAGCATTGCAAAAATAGCTACCAATAAACAGGAGGTTGATGAATTATCTTCCTGCAAGAGGTTGTTTATATCATATGATTCCATGATTCTCGGGTTCAAGAAAGGTTTTAGGCCATTTATTATTGTTGATGGTTGCATTCAGTGCTATTGGTAGGACAGTGATAATGGCACAGGTCCCAATACAATTGTCGTTAGTTGAGGCGGAGACCAAAGTTTTTTGGATATTGGTCTAAGAATGAGTCAATAAAAGCTAGAGAAATGATAGGGAGTCCGACTCTTAGGGCCGAATTTCTCTCTCGTCATCTACTCTTACTCTCTCTTCTCTCCAATTTTGGCTCCCTCTTCTCTTTTCTATTTCGCATCTCTTTTGAACATACAAGCCCTTATCGTCTATTTGTATCTAAAATTATAAACCCTAGTCTTCTCTGCCCAGATATGATTTTATTCTTCTTTTTTGATTCTTGTTACCTATTTATAGTGTTATTAAAGACAAATTGCTCTGTTTTATCTTGAATTTGTGCCATGTAATTTGTTTTTGCTGAATGTCAGAAATCTATGAAATCTATATATGTTTGCTGAAGGAGAAACATATAAGATAGAAGGTATAAATTTAAGTTTTTTTTCTATATATCTTTTAGCTCGTGTATATTGTATTAGCTATTATATGTTGATAAGATAACAAAAGAAGGTGAATGGCTTTTGGTTGAAGATGTTTGAATAAGGATTGCTGGGTTTCTAGTTTCTACTGAAGATGAAAATTTTTCCTATATGTTGCCAAGTGTTCCAGGTTTAGGGCTTTAACTAGTGTTTTTAGTGTTGATTTTGAACTGGGTTTTGTTTGTGTCAATCAATTTATTTGAAATTCAAAAAATAATTCAGTATCATTTCATGGTATTAAATTGGGATACATCTAATCCATTGTCAGAATATTGAAGATTAAGAAACCATATTCTGTTCTTTATCTTGAGTAACTGTGTGAAGTCTAACAAAATTGATTTAATTTCAAAATTCATGAGTACTGTTGATTTGTTTCAGGCTTTTGTGATGGGGAGAGGATCAAGGTGACTCCTAGTGAAGTAGGAGAGAGTTAATGTAAAAGAAGGAAAGCTGCATTTATGGAAGCAAAAAAAAAATGTAAAAGAAGGAAGCTGACATTGCGCTAAGAGGCCCGATTGAGTTTCTTGAGGAAAAGAAGAAAAGTAAAGGAATTAAAGCTAGTGAAAAGGTGGGCTATGAGAAACAAGAGGATGAGATCAAAGTAAAATGTTGCAGCAGTTTGGAAGAAAAGTTTGTATGTTGAACAACCTCATTTATAACCAACAGTTTTTGTTGTAGCAGCTCATCTTCCACACACGAGAGCCTTCTGACATTTCTTTTGTATCACTTGATATATTTATTTTAGGGTATGATACTGATGAATGATGAATATGTAAATCCAAAGCTTCTTGTTGACTATGTTTGCTTAAATTACTTCATGTGATTATTTGAGCTATTTGTATATATTATTCAACTTGTTGGTTATGGTCTAGAAAGAGACTACACCTCTTGATTGGTTGATCTTATGGCAAGACAATGTTGATTAGGGCTGCAAATGAACTGAGCCGAGCTTAGGCTATTCGGGCTCGGCTTGTTTGTTTATGGGATCAACTCGGGCTCGGCTCGTGACGAGTTCAAAAAATTCAGCTCGGGCTTGGGCTCGTCTTGATTTTAAAAGCTTGGGCTCGGTTCGGGCTTGGCTTGTTTAACAAAAATAATAAAAATAAAATGGGCTTGGCTTGTTTAACAAAAATAATAAAAATAAAATTCAAAATTAATAAGTATTCTACAGGCCACAACAGTGAGACAATACGCTATCATGCAAAAAAAAATACAACAACAATAATAGCAAATTGCTATATTTGTGTCATTACAATATCCATTGTGTTTACCAAGAGACTAGCTTTTTTGATATGTTTCAAAATTCCTAGTAACTTATCTTGCAGGTGTCTAGAACGAGACGAGATTGTCAACCTTCAGGCAATGCAACCAATTAACCCCAAAGGACTTTAGAAGAAGAGGTCTCACAATTTCATGAGTTAACCCTCACTCCGGAAGACAGAACTGAAGAAGAGACCTTACAATAAATCGTCTTCGTTGGAGACTTAGAGTCTTAGCTATAGATGAATAAGGTAATTTGAGTTTAGGAGATGGAGATGGAGATGGAGATGGAGATGGAGTCAAGAGAGAAGAATAATAATTAATAAGAGGCTTCGTGGTTGTTCTTTTTTATTTTGGGTACAGGGTAAAACCATGAATATATAATATATATTATGTATTATGTATATAAATATAACAAGCCTAATACGAGTTTTATTCACAAACATTAACGAGTCTAAACGAGTTCATATTAACGAGTCTAAAAGAGTTCATATTCACGAGCCTATGTGAACTGAGCCCAGTGTTGCTCAAGCTCGGCTCATTTACTAAACGAGTCTAAAAATTGGACTCGAGCTCGGCTCGTTTGCTTAACGAACGAGCCAGAGCCGAGCCCTTAACGAGCTGTTCATTTGCAGCACTACTACAAATTATCTTCAACAGGAAAAAGGAATGCACACATCCACATTTCTCTCCATCCATAGGAAGTTGGAATTTTTGTTCATGCGATGGTAATATTGAAAATGAAATTATATAAAAATACAGTACAATACGAGTTCAAATCATTGGAACCAAAATATACAATCCAACTCTTTTTTAGAAAACTTATTTTATTTTATTTTTTATTTTTGATAAATAAGGTAGTTGATTCAAGGAAACTAGGGACTATGGGAGAGTTATAGCCCTCTGTGTACAAGCAAACAGATGCTTACACACACATATATATTCAACTAAACACACCTTTCTCTTTATTTGAATTTTTATCTTAAAGACCTCTTCAGCATAAACAGTTGCTTCAATCTCTTAAAGAAAGATATTTAATCAACTTGTTCGGATACCTACAATGTCAAACCAATAAATGAAGATGATGTATCTGTATGTAAATGGAATTTTTTTCTTGTTTGTTTGTTTGTTTGTTAAGTCAATCCGTATGTACATATTATAAACAAGAAAGTCAGTATATTAATTAACGTGGACTTAAGCAAGTCGTCATGTAAATGTGGACTTACGGGCATTAATAGTCGTGACTTGTGAGATAGTAGGAAAGAAGTGGAAATGCATATATGTAATATTTATAAAATTGATCCAAACTTTTAATATTACTTTGACGTGGCCTCATCTGAGTTGAAGAAGTAATTTTTATTTATTTATTTATTTTTCTTACTTATACCAAAAATTTGTAACTGATTCTTATTTTTTCTATTAATCTTCTTGAAGAGATTAGAATTGGATTGCTGGTTTTTTAGAGCGAATCAAATAGCATTTTTCGGTTATACACTCTGTTAATATTATGAAATTTTTTGAGACTTGCTGATTCCAAGTGCTCTATATTTTAAAGAGAGATACTTACTATCAAGTACACAGAGAAATTTTAAAGAAAAAAAAAATTAGAAAGAGAGATTATATTTTTTTATAGAACTAGGAATGGAAGAAAATATATAAAAGTTATAAAATTAGAAAAGAATATTTGTAAGAAACATCATGTTTATATATATATATAGAAATAAATAATATTTTCAAAAAATTAAAAATGATGTACAAATGCTAGAATCTCACTTGACATACCAAATAAAATACACTATCATAAAAAAAAATAAATAAATAAAATGATGTTTTATTGGAAACAAATTGCTAAATGCAACATAGAAATATTTTAGAGAGAAAAATAATATTAAAGAGAAGATTTCCTTGGATAGGTCTTCATGTACATCCAAATAAACCTTCAAATATATACAAAATTGGTAGTGGCATTCTTTTTACACAAAAAAAGGTACTTTTGAATTTTTAGAAAAAAATTGACATCACCGACGACTATTTTTCATTAGATTTATTCAATTTTCTTTCTAATAGGGATTATTTTTGCACATTTTTTATTTAGGGATGATTTTTTTTTGCACTTACCCATTTTTTATATGTATGCTTCGTGCATACACATATATCAAGCAAAATGAATTCATTCCATCAATCCATTATACGAGTTGTAGCATCTGAATATTTGTAAAGCTCATACTAATTAACAGCGAAGGAGTACACTAGTGTCACTAATTTTATATAGACTTATTCTAGATATATATAACCGTCTCATGAAGTAGACATGATCAAGATATAGATGGAGCAAAGAAATCATGGCCATTTGGTTTGCCAAACGGACCTTCATCTCCGATCAAACACGCGAAAAGCTCCTTGTCAAGCTGATTTTTCGAGTCACCAAGCAAGCTGGAGCTTCCAACATCATCACACGATGTTGAGATAGAAGGTGGGAGAGAAGAGTAATTTGGTGTGTTAAATGCAAGCAAAATTTCTCGTGCCTTGTCCAACTCTTCTCTGAGCCTCTCAACTTCTCTCTCGAGCCTCTTGTTATCAGCCAAGGCACTCTCTAGTCTCATTTGGAGGGCTTTGTGGTCCACCTCAAGGCTCTGGCTCTTCCACCTTGCTCGTCTGTTCTGGTACCATATCGCGATCTGCCTTGGTGGGATGCCGAGTTCTTGGGACAGCTGCAGCTTCCGATCCGCGTCAAGCTTGTTGTTGAAGTTGAAACTTGCCTCCAAGAGCCTTACCTGCTCTTGGTTGAGCCTTTTTTTGATGCACTTTATTGGGTGCTTTCGGTATTGGGAATGAGGGTAATTCATTTTTTTGTTGAGGGTTTTTTTGGGAGTGCTTAGCTTGGCATTAAAATCTGGGAAGATGGCTTGTGTTATGTAGAGGATTTGGATGAATAATCAATCTAATTCGAAAGAGGGACAAATTTGGGGCCACACTTCGTTTTCGAGCATGCAAGTGGCTGACAATGTATCAAAGAAAATTTTTAGTCGTCGGATATGATGGTTTTGGCTTCTTGTTTTTTTGCCATTGGATTTGTAACTGGATGATCTATTTATAGCCAGGTTTTGCATTTTCTAGCTAAAAATAATTTCATTCTATGGTGGACGTTTTGACGGTGTATAGTTGTGACAATGCAATGGCCACAGTTTGGTCCTCAAGTAACTTTATCAGTACGGAGTACTTTAATGTCAAAAGATATCTTTGCCATGGACTAAAGAAACAATTTTTTATGTGTCATGTTTGAAAAAAAAAGGGGGCAAATTTCATGCAACATATTTTCATTACAATTCAGGTACAGGGTTGAAATTACATGGATTAAAGAAATGTGCTTTTCATTTGTCATGTTTTGAGAATGAAGTCAAATTTGATACAAAATGTCATTCATTACAATTTAGGCCCTGGGTTGAAAATCTTGCACTAGCTTCCAGATTCTACCTGTTTATAGTGTGGATCATGACCAAATATTTGAATTACTCAAGTCTGCAGCATATAAAAAATAAAGCCGCTTCAATCAGATATCTTAGCTCTTCTGGTAGTGGTATGAATTTTAGAATGTATTTTTAAATCTCGGTTGATTAGACAACTGAAACAAAATCCAAGTTTTACAGTGATCTCCAAGAACCAAATTACCTAGTTTCAGGGTTTATATGGGCTGTTTGATGTGGTTTTGTGAGAAATATTTTGATGCTCTTAGTTTTTTTTTATATGACATCACAAGTAATTAAATGTGACAAGTAATGATGAAATTCACTAAATAAATGTAATTTTTTTTTTATATGACAACATATAATTAATTAATAGTAGTGGTGACATGGTATCACCAATACAAAGAAGTCTTGCTCGTGATTTTGGATTCTTAATTGAGTTTTGGTATGCTATATGATTTAGGGTTCCTAACGTAAGCCATAGACACTTGTGTTAGAAATTCCAAATCACAGTTATTATTTTCAACTTATTAAAGCTCAAATCCTGAAAAAATAATATAGAATAAAAATAAAAATCAATATGAGATGAACATGTAAACAGGAAATTTGGATCCTCTTTTTGTGTGTTGGACGGTTTAATGCACAGAAAAGCTTGGAGGCTTTTTTCTTTTCCAAAAAAGAATAGTGTGGAGTTTAAACGACAAAGATTGTAGTTTATTCCATGGGAATTACATGTCGAACCGTCCATGGATCAAATCTTAATTAGTAAACAAGCAATTTACAGCACAAAACCAAACAATTTAAATATGACAAACAATTATATGAACAAGGAATAGTTAGTCAAACAGGTTGACGAGGAATAAAAGTACAGCTCCTAGCCTTCTAGCCATTCAACGTCAAGTGGTAATCGTGATTAGATGCGCTCAAGCTCATTACATGGTCCCGAGTCATTGATTCTGAATCAATCACCACTGAACATGTAATTAATTGTGTCGAAAATGTGCAAGTTATTTTTAACTTTTACTTACGTGTCCAATAATAATTGGTTAGGATCTATGATCCCAAAATTATATAAAAATTTATTCACGAGACAATTTTATATCTTATTAACCGAAAATAACATGTCAAATCACTCCCCATCTATATAGTTGCTTTGATCCAAAAAGAGAGAACAAAAATAAAAAAATAAAATTGCTTTTTTTGACCCCCACCAAGCTAGCTTGTACTGACTGGAAATGTCTGATCATCACCAAATTAATCCAGCACCAGTTGAGGTCAGCTACAAAGACATTTCAACAACAATTTTAACCAATGCATACTATCTGGACAACTCCATAGGGGTCTAATTGGAAGCTCCAAAGGCCAAAACACTATTACAGACGTTGGTTTGATTGAGGACCATCACGAGATCATGTCGTTTGGAGAGGGTTCAATGTTCCCACCCACAACGCCTGGATTGGCTCTCCACCTACTTGTGGGGTACATTACATATTTGGCAGCTCACACGAGATTAGAGTGTGTCTTTAGATTTCAAACATGCGCATTATAATGTTGAATGTCTTCTTAATTGGCAAATTAATGTAAGTGACAAACACTGAATTGCATGTGAATATGTATGGATCATCAATATAATACAAGGATTGTTGGGGAGTATAATATACATGTGTGTCCCATCTAGGGCCCACAAATATTTAATGTGTATGACCTGAATTAATCTCACTCCCTTGAAAGTCAAGTGATGGGATCACAGTATATGAAGCTTGTCAAAATCACCCAAATTGATTGATTAAATTGGTGTTAGTAACAATGTATTTTGCAAAGCTCTTGTTATTGGCCTTTATAGCCTAATTAGCCGCCTTTGTAGCCTAATTAGCCGCCTTTGTAATGTTATCTAAAGAGCGGCTACTCTAGAACCTCTTAATTAATTCAGTATAAAAATATGATAGGTTTTCCGATCTTAATTACCGACTTATTTTCCGAATCTAACGTGGCTCATCCACGTTGGATTCCTAAAAAGAAATCGCAAAACAATAGCTGGAACCCTAAAAAGAAATCGCAAAAAATTCGCTGGCTTCTTTTCTTCTTTATGTTTTTTTGGAAAGCTTAAAAGTTGTGGTTCGTCTCTGTTTCTGCTTAAAAGTTGCAATTCGTCTCTATTTCTTCGATATCTCTGTCCAGGTTTCTTCTCTCACTTCCTCTTCTTTTTCCTCCTTTGTGGCTATCTTTTTTTTTCTCGTTCTTGAACTCCCCCTTTCTCTAATTCTGGCTCTGTCTTCAATATCGCAAAATCAAAAGGAAATCCCCTTCTGTCTCTTTCACATATATGCCGTAATCTAATTTCTGAATCTAGAATTATAAATTGGTCTTCTCAGCCCTAATCTAAATTTCATGGTTATGTTTCTAATTTTTTTTTTTTTTTTTTTATGTTGCTGCTATACTAACTCGATAATTAATCTAAAGCAATGATCTGTTATTCCTAAGTGATGATTTTACGTTGATTCCTTGTACTCATCTCTTTTTAATCTTTTTTGTTTCTAGATAAGAGTATGAGAACGATTTGATGGAAAGGTTGGTGCTGCAAAAAGAAAGTGTTTTAATGTCTACTTATGAAGCAATCAAACGAGGAGAATGAATGACTTGCTTCAGAATTTACGGCTAATAGATTGGGCAATAGAAGATTAGTTCAAGAACAAAGCCACTGGGCAATAGAAGATGAGTTCAAGAACAAAGCCACGCTTAGTTTTATTTAACATGAGGAAGTGTTTTAACATCTTCGTAGAATTTGTTGGATTGTGTAGTTTGTGTTTTGGTTCCATTATGTGAAGTCATATTGTACTCTAATTTTATGCGAAGTTGGATTGTAATCTTCTTGTTAATTAATTCATTTTTTTTAAATCGAAGTTCAATACATGAAGAACCAAATGAGATTATTGGATTTGTTAGCCAATGTAAAACTTGAGCATCTCCAGACCTTGAATTGTTATTGTCTTTAAGTGGTGAGACAATACATGTAATGGTTATGTGCTTTGATCATGTTTATCAAGTGTTTTGAATTTATGTATATCATTGTTGTTGCTCATCAATATGGCATTGCCCTTGTGAAAACCAGCAAGCAAATGCCAAATAACAACCAAAACCAAATGACAAAACCTAACTTCATATGAAGCTTTTGCATTATATGCCATAGGCACAATCGATAACAAGACTCTGGAAACACCTTTCTAACTGCTGCTTGAATAGCTCTGCACTGGTCTGTGATAATAGCTTTTGGAGCACGCCTTAACATACACGTCAACCATGACTCAAACAACCAAATATAAGTTTCAGTATCTTCATTAGATAGCAAGCCACAACCAAACAACACAGATTGCCCATGATGATTCACCCCAACAAGTGGAGCAAAAGGCATGTCATATTTATTTGTCAAGTAAGTAGTGTCAAATGTGATAACATCCCCGAAAGACTCATATGCAGCCCTACACCTAGCATCAGCCCAGAAAACATTCCTCAAACGTCCTTCTTCATCCATATCAATCATGTAAAAAAAATTTGGATTCCTATTTTGCATGCGACAAAAATAGTTACGAAGGGCTTCAGCATCTCCAATGCCAAGCCTTAACTGTCTTGCTTTTGCAATGTAGTTTCTGTATTCTCCCTCACCAAATGGTAAATATTCATACCCACTAGCTTCAACAACAAGTGAATGATAGTTTTTATTTAGTGTTATACCGGCTAAATCATTCAATTCCAATCTTTTTTCTGACATGTGAATCTATTACTTTGTTACATCTAAAGTGTCGAACATTTCCCGGACTTAGTACATGATTATGATCAAGATAGACATGAGTGATAATGAACCTTCCATCATCTTTAGCTGTAACATTCATTTTAGCCTTACAATTTGTCTTGGTTGAAGGCCTTGGATGAAAAGAGTTTTTTGCCTTTGATATTGCTTTGCCATATCTCAAGTGAAAAGTAACTTGACTTCCCATCACTTCTATTTTTTATACTTATTTTTGAGACATCAAAACCCAAATGTTTCGCATAATTTATGTAGTAATTACAAACTTCTTCCTCAGACTCAAAGATCATACCTACCTTGGGATTTTCTACTTCATCCTCAACTAATGAAATTTTCAGATCTTGTTCATTCACATTATTACCACTTTCTTCATTGCAAGACATCTCCTATTTGTCAAATGACAAAGTAAGCTAAGAGTGAAACGAATAAAAATAAAATTAAAACGTTAATATGTAAATATTGAAAGTCCAAAAACTATAAAAAGGGAATTTAATTTTTTTTTTTTTTTCCTTAAAAACAAAGAATAGCATACTTACTAGTGGAAGTTCAATAATTCTTTTTCTTTTCTTTTTTTTTTTTTTTCAAATTGTTGTATATAACTTTTTCCCCCATAAATTCAAGCAGGTATAAACTTGTAATATATGTAGAACATGGCAAAAATAATGGTGGAGAGCATAAACTAAACTCAATACCAAGCCTCATGTTAAAGGTGCCAAAGCTTCTTATAGACATCAATTAGATACAATCAATA